AAAATATATCCGGTAACTGCCACAAATGCGACACCACCAATTTTTAATTCACAAGTAAAAGGTGAATACACCTGCGTCATTAGGAAGGTCCTTAGTGGAGAAAAAAGGGAAGTAGGACATGTAAATAGATCCTTATGCATTAGGTATGAGGATTTCACAGAAAAATTAAATGGACACAAGTTGACAGTAGCCAGAGCAGATGTGTGGTGGTATTGTGGTGGCAAGTCTTTAAGGGGATATCTACACCCTCTGTGGGATGGCATGTGTGTGTTGATCTCATTACTCATACCAATTGAAATAGCTCCAGTGGATCTAGAGAAGCCAGAGATTTTGAAACAAATCATTAGTGTAAAAACCAGATCAAGAAGGGCACTGGCTAGACCAGAGGAGGGAAGTCCAGTTTATATTGATGCAATAGGTATTCCTAGGGGAATTCCAAATGAATACAAATTGGTTGATGAAATTGCATCAGGATTTGAAAACATCCCAATAATCTCCGCAATTTTTCCAGTAACCCCAAATAAGAACGTCGATCGGATCAACTACTTACATTACAACATACAGAGGCTAAGCAATTATACATATGATGGATTTGAGGCAATTCATGAACAATTATCAGCCACATCCTTAATGACCTTCCAGAACAGACTTGCTGTTGACATGATTTTAGCCAAAGAAGGCGGAGCCTGTTCATTGATTGGCCCTACGTGTTGTACGTTTATCCCAAATAATACTGCCCCAAATGGAAAATTAACAAGGGCCCTTCAGGGACTAAAGGCGCTATCCCAAGAAATGAAGGCACATTCAGGAGTAGACCAATCAATGTGGGATGGGTGGTTGGATGTGTTTGGCAGATATAAGGCACTGATAGCATCAACTCTACTATCGGTGGCTGTATTTGCAGCAATCCTGACGCTATGTGGATGCTGTTGTATTCCGTGCATACGATCCTTATGTAACAGAGTGATAACAGCCGCTGTGGAAGGGAAGGTGGCAGAAAGACAACTGCTACTAACCCAGGACCTACAGTGGGAACCAGAAGAATTGATGACCATAGCCTAAGCCATAAAGGACAATCATCAGAAGAACGGGTGAGTATGGCCTGTGATATTGTCAGAATATCACCAGAGGAGTTGTGAGTATGCTTTATGATATTATCAAAATATTTTAATCAAAAATGTATAACTGCTTGCATGTAAATAACGCACATAACCTTGCAAACTTGTAAGAGGGACTTGGGAAAATCGGGGATGCGATAAAAAATTATAAAAATTAAAAATTAAAATAAAAAATTACATAATTCAAATTGATGCACGACACAAACATATTCTTTCTCCACAGCTCTTGCAACTATTGTTTTTGTTACACAGACTAGACACCGCAGCACACCCACATATAGATTGTTTTATAGGATCACTTCAATGTATGTAGTTTAGGGTGAGTTGGATGCTCAGTCCGCCCAGAGGCCTTTGGGGGGGTCTGAAGTAAGGGCTGAGTGGAAGACCACCACATTTTTCATAATGTCACATGGGGTGGTTTAGGAGTTCACAGATCGTCGTGAAGACTGGGATTAGACTGAGTATAGGATGTAATGCTGGATCAACTGATGAAGATGGGCCATCTGAGACGAGAGTGATGGATGTCCGAAGAGTTCCTCTCCGGCCAACAGGGGGACTGTTGGAATATTAACTCCTGCACCAGTTAAAACTAAAATCAGTTTAGTATTGTTTCTGTTGCCAAATTAGCACTTGTTTGTGTAAATCTCAAAGAGCAGTGAGTTCAAGGTTAGTCTGTGTGAAATGGGAGGGGGACAAGAGGGAGACAAGTGGTTATCAGAGCAGGTGCAAACGTTGGCAGCGGGCCAGAAGGAGTCATAGGGTCCATACAGTTGTGATGTCAAGTGACCTTGGATGTAAAGTATAAGAGATGTGCAGGAGCGGTCACGGGGGCTTTTTCTTTTTCTCCTGATCAGGAGCAGAGAGAGACCCGAGGCCACCCCTTATCTTGAACGCGAAGCGAGACCTGTTCGCAGACCGTGTAATCTTGTAATATTGCTTGCAAATCTTCAATATAACCTTTTGAAATCAGGTTTGGTATCTGTCATTTCTATTACTGTTTTAACATTGGTTTTTGTCTCTTGTTGAACTAAAAGGACCTGCAGAACGAAGGGCTGCTGGGTTTGCGGCCTCTCTGCAGCTTCTGGGGCGGGGGAATTCTGACAAATTACAGCAGTTTTTAATCACATTGAACAAATCACCGTATTTAAAGTTGATTTGATAAAATCGTAAAAAATAAAAATTTGTTATTTTGACGCATTTTGCACATATTCCTGCAGCCGATGGGTATAACCACTGACCTGCAACACACGACCCAATCATTTGAACTTTATGTAGGACATTCAGAACTGTTTTATGACATGTTTTTTCACCCCTGATGATTGCCTTGGCACAAATTATAGGACAAAGTCTGCCACAGAGATCGTATATAAAACACAGTCATTCAGCCTTTGAGATCATTGAGCCTTTGAGATCATTGAGCATTTGAGATCTCTTCTTCACCATCTCCTCCTGGGTGTGTCCCTGGGATCAGCGTCTCCTTCTGGGATCAGTGATGTGACTCTGCAGCGTGGAGGATGCCCTGCTATCTGGTTCAGCTTAAAGGACCGCTGTTACAAGTATGTGTCCACTCGACTGACCTAGGGAGATGCAGAGGTCTACTGTCAGTCCCAGAACAGCAACCTGGTCTCCATACGGGATCGTAAAGAAAATGATTTTGTGAAGACTTTGATTCAGAATTTTGATCACACACAAGGGATGACTTGGATTGGACTCAGTGACAACCACAAGGAAGGAGCATGGATGTGGTCTGACGGTTGCCCAGTAGGTTTTGACATGTGGTTTAAAGGAGAGCCAAACAATAGCGGTGGAAACGAACACTGTGGAGAAATCAACGCTGGACCAAACAAAGAATGGAATGATCGCACATGTTCACTCACCTATCCCTCTGTCTGTGCAACACGCAGAGATAAGTGTCAGCAGCCAGTGTGAAACTGTCTCATACTGTTCACTGTACACTTATATTGCAACTTATATATTACCTTTATTGTGAAATAAAAGAGCTCTTAATCTTGTATTACAAATCAAAAAATAGTCCAGTCAGTTTGCCCATATAAGAATTGCCTGAAGATACATCATGAAGTAACTGATGGAACATCTTTGGTTGTTTGATAATCTAATGGCACTCTCTAGAAAGAGGATTCAAGATGTAACGATAATTTGAAAATATAGAAAATGTACTCTCATGTTTCTTATATTTTATGCAAACTATATGACATTAAACTAAATAACATTAAACTTCCAATGTTTGTCTCGAGATGGATTTTTACAACACACAAAAACACATTGTTAGTATTATTTTTATTATTATTTTATTTCACATTGTCCAGCTTGTTTTGAACTAAGCTCAAGGTTCAGCAGATATTACACAAAGCAATGAAAGTTACATTTACAATAATCATTCACAACAGTAACAAACATCAAATCATTGATGATCACATGGTCATCTCTGTTTTTAACTTTTTAAAACCAGCCGAGACATAAAGATTTCCTAAGCTTTGCCCCATGAAATGCTCTTCTGAGGGTAACTTTCACATTTTATTATATTTCTATATGAAAAGATCTCATATTACAGTCACAAAATGGCCTCCACAATTTCCACAGCTGTAGTTGTCACAATAACTCCCCATATCAATCGTACTAAATCTATAGCATCCACAACAGATGAAATGTCACTTTTGCTCTATTTTTCTGCTACATTTTTAGCAGAGAACATTTATCAGTGAAGCCCAATGGAAATGCTTAGTAAAGGGATAAAGTTTAATGGTTCACAGATGATCCAACAGGTGCTATTCTCACAGCTCATTTATCTTGGCACAGGCATCTCCACACAGCCCTGATCATGCTCTATAAAAGAAAACGCATGTGTCCTTGTTTCTGCTCCTGTTTCTCCAGACTGACACCATGCAGTTGTTGTCCACCATCTCCCTGCTCCTCCTCAGCTAAGATAAAATACTATGTCCACAACAATCAGCAACAATACCTTTTTCCCTCTTTGATGCTCATAACCTGACCTTTAGATCTTTGGAAGGTGTGGTATTTAACTTGATCAAATAATAATGCATTGGTTTTATATAGCGCTTTTTTGGGCACTCAAAGACGCATTACATGTCATTACTCTTTCACTCCATACACGGTGGTGATAAACTACTACTGTAGCCGCAGCTGCCCTGGGGCACACTGACAGACGGGAGGCAACCAGTATGTGCCATTGGCCCCTCCGACCATCCACACTCACACCAGACTCATTCTAGGCAATGGGGGTGAAGTGTCTCGCCAAGGACACAATGACAGTAGACATTAATAGGAGTCGATGAAGAAGGTCGATCTCATAGTGGGCTCGAACCCAATACCTTCTGACTGAAAGGCTAATGCTCTACCAACTGAGCCACTGTCGCCTCAAAACTCTTTCAGTGCTTAGTTAGTGATTTTATCTCATTCAAATGTAACGCACAAGGAAATACAGGGAAGGGAGTTGTGTGGTTGATATGAATGCAGCCCATAGTATTAAAACAAATTCAGGATGCAGCCAGTGCACGCGCGTCGCGGTTTGTCGACACGCCCATTGGCTCTTTTCGCGGGAAAGATTGGAGCGCACCATGAATTATTTTGGGGGGATTCAAAATATAAAGAAGCGTGTATAATTAAATGTAACAAAATGACACTATATCCACGTGAAAGTATAAGATGATCTGTTTATGATTTTATTCATATTATAGCTAAAGGAAACGAAATTAGATGAAACAAGAGACGTGTTCTAACAAACGCCTAACACCTGCTTTGGTTCCGCCCGTACTACGTCCTGTTGGTTTTTAAACCCTTCTCTGCTGCTTTACACTCAGCCCTTTTCTATATTTATGTTAGAAATCCGCACAGGATATTAACATGACTCTGGCCTCAAAGGTAAGTGTTTTATCTGTCTATAATGGCGATTACGCCGGTTACTTTGTTCGCGTCCATGTTTGATACTTTTGTTCATTCGGCGGCATAAGATGAAAACACTTGCACTCCCTAACTTTGAACGACATGATCTAGCTGTTATCTAGTGATAACAAGTTTATGGAAAATGTTCGTTTGTACAAACGATAAATTGTTACATTGTTGTAACAATGCACGACGGTCTTGTACACAAACTTGGTTTAACTCGCAGCATGTGCAGAGCTCCCTCTGCTGGCCACAAGATGAAGATCCACAAGAAACAGTCACATGTTGGAAGCATTTGGTTCTTTTATACCAGACAATATAAGGTTTTTTGTGGTGTTATTACCTTGACATGTTTCGCGAGACGCTTCTGAGGAAGACGGAAGTTATCTGTCGAAACATGTCAGGGTAATAACACCACAAAAAACCTTACATTGTCTGGTATAGAAGAACCCAATACTTTTAATTCCACTAAGAAGAAAAGATGAATCTTCCAAAACAGTCACATGTTGGTGTCACACCGGGTTTGCCCACTGTTTATAATGCTCTAAAGTCGTTAGTTTGGTTCAAATTAGTTAATTCTATTCAATTCATTTTCCTTATTTGTAGACTCCCAACTTTCAGTCCAGATTTATAACTCCTGAGCTTTCCCAGTTGTTCAGCAAGTCTGACAGCGAGGAGGAGTTTGAAGGCTTCAGTGAAGACTCCGGCAACAATGACATAAAGGTAAAAATGATTTAATCATTGCTTTAGTGTTGGCACATGTACGGATCAATACATGTTATTCAATTTCTATCTAACACCAAAACAACTCCACAGATATTGAATATTTAAGTGTCACACAGATTTTCGTAGACAAAATTGGAACAACTCTTACAAAATGTGCAGATTTTGGTGCATTATTTATACAATTCAATTATGAATGAATTAATAAATGGCAGAATGGGAAGTATTAAGTTTTAGGTAAAGACCTTAACCAGAAATATAAAGGATTAAAATATTATGACAAGGAAACGTTGTTTCTAAGAAGGTGAAGTTAATGTAACACAATGTGTCCACCTTTACATTGTAGTCATTCCTCCTGTGTATCTCCAGGAGAATCAAAGTGCCTTTAGTATAGTTTTTAATACATACTAATAAGAGGTTCAGAAGCTTACCGTATTCATGTTATTTACACATTTTTAAAAACTAAATTTCCACAGTATTTATAGTAGACAATCACAATAGTGAAAAATATTTTGTATTAAACTATTTACCATCAGTCTACACACACAAGCCCTCTTTAAAATTGATTAAAAACTATACACTTTATTCAGAAAATGTTTAAACCTATTGTATCGAATGGTAAAATAAAATAAGATGCGTATCATGAAGAGTGAGTGAATGAGTGAGTGGATGATGATGATGATGATGATGATGGTTGTGGTGGTGGTGTTGGTGGTCAGAGGAGCTGATGGCACAGACAGGCCTCGGTCACCATCGAGTGTGAGTGAATGGATTGTAACTTCAGTGTATCACTTCGGTAGACAAGCCTGTATTAATAATATAATGCATTACAAATGCATTATATTATTAATGCATTAAATAGATGGCTACCTAAAAAGTATAAAAGTAAATATTAAAAAAAGTGGATTTATTTTTTGTTTTTTTTGTACACACCTTTAGATTAAATAGTTTCACTTCAATGGCATTAATGAATTAGCCAAGGAGGTAATTAACTGTATTTGAAAACAAATAATAACACGACACATTACTTTATGTAAAAGCAATCAAAATGCACTCATTTATTGTGTTGCAATATGGAGACATAATGATACATCAAATAACTATTACAATAGTAATTCATGCAGACTATCATGCATCGCTAATGCTATTGATCTCTTTATTTAAAAAAGTGAGTATATTTACCATTGTTTTTCAGACGGTGGAGTCTGGAGAGGACAGTGACACCTACTTTTATTCTGATGGAGAGGAACCATCATCTCCAAAGAGGAAAAGTTTGCTGGTTGCTTTGAGGTAAGCACATGCCTAAAACTAATGCTGCCCCTTTACTGCCGTGTCATAATAGCAATGATTCTGTTTAGGTTTCCATTTAAAATCTCATCAACCCCAAAACAACAAGCAATTAAAAACAAAAGTCTGAACAATATTGAAAATCGCCATCCAAGCAACAAGCCAAAGCTGCAAGAGCAGAAGGTGGAGGATGAAGATGCAGAGGAGGAGGAGGAGGAGGAGGAGGTCTTGTCTCAAAGTCTGAAGAAGCGAAACAAAAACATTCAGGAAAACAAAGCCATGGTAAATCCACTAAACTATTACTTTGTTCAGAAAAAAAGATTACAATATTTCTGTAAATGTAGGTTTCTGTTAGGAATGTGTCTTCTATAGTTAATGCTATATTGTGGAACATTGCAGAAAATCGAGAACATCTTCAAACAGTCAAGTGGGATCAGGCACTGCTCCTGTGACCTGCATAATTACACTTTTACAACAACAATCATTTTTGACAATAATAATATTTGTTTCTCCTTTGTTTTAGCTGGCGAAGCTGTTTGCCGATTTGAGCACTTTGGCGGTTTTGACACCGCCCTCAACTCCCCAAGTGAGTTTGAACTTGTAAATAGGAATAGGGATGAAACTAAACTACTTACTCAAGATCTTACGAATATTAAATACATACTTTGCTCCAAGAAGACCTAAGTATTTGAATTGAGAAGAGAAAGTGTATAGTCCAACCCCAGTAGAATTGAATTGGATTGGATTAAGGTCTTGTGAAAGAGAAAGTGTTATTAAATGCAATTTTTATGGGAATTGACAATTGCATAAAGCTTCTGCGGTCAAAAATGTAACTCAAAATCTCTGGTATATACTGTATAGTGCTGCGTGTTTCTTGAGATGTGTGGGAGAAGTAGTGTTTCATCCTTATTAGTAATATGTAATATAGCTGTTTTACATATGGTTTTATTGATTGCTTCAGAAGAGGAAAAGTACAACAGAAAAAGACAAACCAAAGAAACGTAAGTTTGAGCCAGATACAGGGTCTGAAAGGAGGAACCCATCACGCAAGGCTCGACCTCGAGAGAATTTTGCTGTTGAAGAGAAGGCTGAACCAGGCACAGTCAGAGTGGTCAGAAAGGTGGACCTCAGGGCGCTGCTGGAGGTATGGGACCTTCGCTAGTCTAAGGTTTTACGTCGTCGTCAGCAAATGTAATGTAGGATTCCTCTGTGATTGGGCAGGTTGACTATGAGCGTGTGACTGACGGAGAAAAGAGAAAGAAGGGCTCTAAAAGGTGCCAGTACTACGTGAAGTCAGTGGATGAGATTACGGAGGAAGAGATTGACAACATAGCCTACCGGGCTAAGGACAAGATCTGGGACAAAGAAAACGTTGGTGTCTTGTAAGTTCTGGTCAGTTTGCCTGATGTTTACACAGTGTGGTGTTTAGGGCAGCTCCTGTCACCAGTGCCGGCAGAAGACTCTGGACACTAAGTCTGTGTGCCGCAGTGGAGTCTGCACTGGTGTCAAAGGTCAGTTCTGTGGGCCCTGCCTAAAGAATCGTTATGGAGAAGATGTCCGCTCTGCGCTGCTTGATCCGGTGAGAACCAAAACAATGATCCCAGACTCCTGGTAACTCATCAAAGGACTTGAATCAATGTTTTTGACTTTACAGACGTGGTCCTGCCCAATCTGCCGAGGCATGTGCAACTGCAGCCTGTGTCGCAAAAAGGAGGGCCGCTGTGCCACAGGGATCCTGGTGCAACAGGCCCGTTACAACGGTCATGACAATGTGCACGAGTATCTGGAGAGGTCAGTCCTGAGTATTTTAAATATGGATATGATATGGAAATATCTCCATGAGGCAGTGGTTCTTGAGTCTCACTTCTTTTTGTGATGGTTTTACAGCATTAAGAAGGAGCTGCAGTAGATGGAGACAAAACAACCTCGAGAAATCGTTCCATTTCATTAAACAAGGCACGTCAAATGAACATTTTATTCTGTTTTTATTGTTGCATGTGATGCGTTCATAGATCTCTAAGAAACCGTTGACACCATGTTTGGTTTTTACTTGTTTAACACTGGCTTTTAAGCATATTGTATATTTTATTTGTACCCCAATAAATGCTATAGAGACTGAATGTGTCTGATCTTCGACCCATGTTATTGCAGTAAGTGTGATGAACTGTGAAATTCTGAGAGAAAAGTGTTTTCGCCAGTTTATTGTTGAGTGTTATGCAGGTTAACGCAACCATTTATTTTGGAGTACTTAGTCCTTTTTTAATCAACACATTTGTACAAACCAGTTTTAAAAATATCAATAAACTGGAGCCTTTGAGGCTAACCATTATCAAATGTCATGACGACAAACAAACATCTTTTAGAAAAGATTTACAAATAAGATTTTCACTTCAAAGTATCAAAGAAAAGTTGGTCGGCACCAAATTTTACCAAAACATCTTGATCCGTTTGGTTGATTTTGAGCAATTTGTAGCTTTTTTGAATTATTTTTCTTCAGCTATTTTGTAAAAACATGGTGCAATTAGAATAAGAAAAGCAATTATCAGACGCTGAAGATAGCACAAGTAGAATTAAAAAGCAATACTACTCAAAAATAAAAAAACTCAAACATGCTGTACACAAACTCACAATACAAATACAGCAAAAGGCAAATATTAAATCAAGGATAAATAAGTGTCCATACACAGAGCAGTCCTGTGTGCCAATGGGTTGCAAAGGGACATTTTAAAATAATAAAACTTTGAAATAATATTAAATCATTTTTCAGACAGAATGAACACATCACAAGAAAACATCATATTCACATAAATTACCCTTTGTCGCACCCAGTCCTCACACATCTTTGACTTTGACCAGCTTTTTTGCGGCTCCCTTCAAGTAACCTGCCAGACTGGTGCTCTGTATGTGAGAAAATGGTGTAGTCTCATCCGGCCAGGCAAATATTCAACTATTTCTGTTAAGGCAATTGTCCTACACGGGTCGCACACAAGAGAGAAACGGTCAAAAGCAAAACAGTTTTAAGTTCTGCTGTAACAAACACCACGTTGTAGTGAACCTGGTGTTTTCCGACAGCAGCTAGCACTCTTTATCTGGCGAGTTATTTTCACAGAATTGGTAAAAACAGAATAATCCCCTGACAATGTAAACATGACTTCAATAAGATTGTCGCAGAAGTATTGCTTTCACTAAACAACGTTGTAGAAAGCTAGATTGTTTTATATTATAGAAACTTTTCACTTCAAATGGCCACTGTGCCTCATCATAGGAATGCATTTTTTAAAATAAATCTTTCATATGTGCTTACTTGCTTGACTGCCAAACATTCAGCCAGTCAACTCATCACATAAACAAAAACTGAAACACCTGAATTAGAACTACAAGCTTATCCATTACGACATTTAGGTAGATCTTCATCCAACATGGAGACATTACTCAGACCGACATGCACAACAACACCAGTCCTCTCCATCTCAACCTTCACTGTCATTTCACGACTTTGAATCAGTCTTTAAAGTATGATTGACCCCCAGCATTGCGGGAAATGTACTGAAACAGAATGCAACTGTGTGCATAGAGCAGTCTGTCTTTATTAAATAGTCTCTTTCAGTTGGATGTTTTTGTCACATCCGGTCTTGTGCTAATCTTGTTTTGACTTTCCACAATGCAGATGGAATGATTCATGATTAGTTTATAAAATCAAACTAATCTTTCACACAAATGTATTTTATCTACTATCTTTATATCTTGACAGGAAGATATTTTCTTGAATCTTCATCCAATCATGTCTGACCACAGCCATCCTTTAGAATCTGCAAGTAAGAGGAAATTAGCCTTCTGTGTACAAGCAGGAGTCGGCCGCTTCCTCATCCTCTTCGTCGTCCTCCAGGTGATTGGAGGTTGTGGGTGTGGCGGGGTCAGAGTCTCGATTCAGAGTTCCCACGGCAACAATTTGTGGAGATGAGGCCAAGCCCTCAGCAACATCCTCCTCCAGGTCTTCAGTAGTGATAATGGCCACTGCCGCGCCGCCTTTCTTGTTCTGGTGGGTCTTGATGTGCTTGGACAGGTGGTCACTTCGCATGAAGCGTTTGGAGCACTCTGGACACTCAAATCTCTTTTCACCTACAAGAACATATTTGTTAAAAACATGTCGCTATTCTGATACTTTCAGTTAGTGATTATCTCAGTACCTGTGTGTGTTCTTCTGTGTCTTTGTAGCTCATCGCTTCTTGTAAATCGCTTACCACAAAAAATCCAATTACAAACAAAAGGCCTCTCGCCTGTGTGCCACCGTAAATGTGCTCGAAGGTGGGACGTTTTCCCATACACTTTCCCACAGCCCTCCATGTGACAGATGTGCTGCTTTTTCTTTGAGGAATCTCCACTATTCCTAAAACAATTCAACTGTTAGGGTTGTGCCTGTATGGAATATATGAGAGCATAGTATATATTGACTACCTTCCCTCCCCGTCCCTGCAGTTGGGACAGGAGCAGGCCACTCGGCGAAGCCTCTTACTAGGCACTCCCTCCTGGTCTGAGGAGCTTTGAACAGAGCCCAACTGGTCTGGGCTCATGGATGACACTGATGCCATGTTGCCAACAGTGACGGTCACTTGAGATGGTTGGACCTTGACTCCATCTTGGCTTTGAGGTTGACCTTGAGAGGAAAAAACAAAGTGATGTAAGACACTCCTACTATTTAAAAAAAGGTTTGTGTGTTTATGGATGATTGCTTACTCTGTAGACCTGTGATGGTGAGGGGGACACCCTGAACCTGGACCCCTGCAGTGCCTAGTCCAGCGATGCTGACAGTCTGAACCCCAGAGCCCGGGTTAATCTGAGCAGCACTCAGAGTGAGAGGGGCTCCACTGAGGGAAACCAGGCCACCGCCACCAACCGCAGTGCCACCGGCCATTGGGGCCAGTGTGAGCTGCTGAGGTACAGCCGTTCCCAGCCCTCCTTGCAGTGAAACTCCTCCAGGCAGCTGCAGGGTCTGCCAGGTAATCTGTCCTGAGGGCGACAGCGTGGGTGTCCGTATGAGGACCTGGGCAGAGTTTTGGAAAGCCTGGAAGGGCTGCAGTGTTTGTCCCGGGGCCAGCTGCACTGTCTGAATATGCTGAGCTTGTGACTGCTGGCCTTGGGGTTGCCCCTGAGTCTGGGGCTGCAGCTGGATCTGCTGAACCAGCTGGTGTCCAACTTGGCCCACAATCACTTGTTGGATGCCTCCTGTGGAGTCAGCCTGATTCTGCAGCCCATTGGCCTGGCTCTGAGAGTCCACTTCACTGCCTTGTGCTTGGATGTCAGTCCCTCCCTCAGACACTACTTGTGTCCCGTCAGACGTGTCCCCCTCGCTAACAGTTCCTGCTGGGGCAGCTGGGGTCATCCCTGACACGGCTGTTGCCACCAACTGATTACTGTTGGCAACAGATATTGTGCCGTCCGCAGCTTGAATTAACTGCACGGCCCCAGTGGTGCCCATATTATTAATGACAGGTAAAGCTAGGGTCATGCCTCCCAGGTTTATTGGTACTGTAGTCATCACAGGGGTTTGGGAGCCCTGTATAGTTTGGAGCTGGATTGGGAAAGACTGAGCGGGGCGAATCTGGAGTGGGACAGTTTGATTGGCTGTACTTGTCAAAATGGTCTGTTGGGTAGAAGGTTGCAGAATGGTCTGGGTCTGGCCAGGGCTTTGAGTCGGTATAAGTTGAACCTGATCTTGTAACGATCCAATAGAGGTGGGCTGGGCTGAGCTGATGTGAATCTGCTGTCCATCGGCAGTCTGCAAGTGCGGGATAACTTGATACTGCACCCCACTACCAGCATTGGGCAGATTCTGAACCTGAATTATCTGAAATTGCTGCTGCTGGCCAATTGCTGCACTGTTGGTCCCTCCAATTGCCTTTACCTGTCCAGTAGAGAAACAAGTTAGACAATGTGCTACAAAGATTGTTGGTATTGTGATTACATTGACTTCACCTTGCGCCCACTCGGAGAGCTGTCATTGACCATGGTGGGGGCCAGTGTTACAGCCACAGACTGACTGTTGTTTTCCTTTGCCATAGCTGGGGCCGCTGCAATGATCTGCCAGCCGTTGCCTGTAAACTGGGCTGGGACCAGTTCCAGCTGCTGGGGCACCAGTGTCTGGGCTCCAGCTGCGTCCAACACTATCTGACCCTGGAGCTGACCAGCCTGCAGCTGGATCTGACCAGCCTGGACCTGGGTCTGAGCCCCCTCTGTTCCCCCTTGTCCCCCGATCTTACTGCAGGTGGCAGCGAGCAGAGCCAACGGAGAGGGCTGGGAGGAATCCTGGATCAGAGAGTCAGGAAATGAGATGGAAGAGGAGGGGCCGAGGGGGTTAAAGAGTGACAGAGGAAATAAGGCAGACACATGGTTATTAGAGTAGTACAGATAATGAGCTGAAATAAATGCCAACTATGCATCAGTATGAGCATCAAGAAAAGTACAAGTGTAGTTACATTCTCACACATCTCACAAGAAACTACATCGTGAGAGGGGTTTGTTCACAATGCAGAAAGAGAGCTGTCAGTGGAAGTGGGCGTGATACAGGAAGCAAGCGGGTGGGCGTGTGAGATGTACATTTCTCTTTTCTCGGAATAGTGAAAAAAAGTCTCCCTTTCAAAAGAAGTAGGTCGCTGGCAAATATGTATGTTCTTCACATATTTCAACTACATATGTATAGAAAGCAATTAAATATAATAAGCCCCGATCAATGGTTAATAAACATACTTTCACTTTCTGATGCACTGATTCAAATAGTTTAAATACAAACACACATCCCACAACAGATGGGGATACTCATGGTGCCTGATCTCACAGCCCAGCATTTCCTCCATCAACTTCCATTATATGCAGATTATTTAGAACCCAATTCAAGCAGACAGGCTACAATATCAGCAGCTGAAAGTGTGACAGCCGTATTAAGTCTATTCATGAGGCAGGACAGAAACAGGAAGTGGAATCCACAAGAGAAACGCCCCCAGAGGTGTTTGGCTGACTGGCTGCTGGGAGGGAAGGAGGAGAGTGCATGTTTGACCCACAGGCAGACAAAACTCTTTCTTTACATACCTGAGATCCAGAACTTTTGCTCTTTTTTGATGCTTTCCCTCCTTCTGTTCCAGATGATTCTTTCTTAGAGTCTAAAGAAACAAAGTAGTACAACATTGCATTAGGCTTTACTGTATCAATGGGATAACTACAAAGTAACGGGACAAAGCAGGCAGGAAGCTCTCACACACACACACCTGTTATCGCCGACCAAACATTACAAAACTGTTCATTAAAACGTATGAAAGGTCTAACCACATCATCACCAACAAAAGAGGCGCAAAGCCTGCTATCTGTCAGACAGAACAGGGGCAGCAGAGGGGAGGAGACCAGCAGGGGGAGGGTACCTACCACTCATAACGCATTAATATACCGAGAGGGAGAGGGTGTAGTTCACGGTAGAAGGCCGGCCGGGTACAGAGGCGGAGGACGGCCTATATGTTCGGCGCTGATCTGTGGCGGATCTGTCCCTTTGACGAAACCACCCACCGGCCAGGAAGGGCGGTGCCAAGCGCAGCACAATCACGCACTCATCCAGTATGGAAGAAAAGAGGCAGAGTCCAGGACAGATGCTTACGCAGCCTCTGGGCACCTCTTGCTTACCGTTCAAACAGTCCATAAACGAGTAAATAAGAAAGTGTCAGGCTGATATCCACAGAGAACTTGGCTGTGTAACTGCGGAGGCCCTCCCACTTCCATTTAAGCATAAGGACAACACCCTCTTCTGTCGCCGCTCTTACTCCGGAGCACTCGCAGGACGCCGCGTCTCTGTTCGCTGCGCATTAAAAGAAACGCGTGAGCAGTGCTTTCATTTTAAGAGTATTCCGCTTTTTTCGTGCACAGTTGGTGTTTAAAGAGGGAGATAGGAGAAGATAGCAGTGGCTTTTGTGGGCGGATGCGCTCCTCCCACATATTCAGATTGGACGACGGGGTTCAGCGTGCGAGGGTCGAGATGGGAGTTGTATTTTGCCGAAGCCTCGCCTTCTCCAGAGAAATGGGGGAGACCGCACTCCAACTCCCATCATGCACCGCTTGTCGGGTCGGTTGAAGCAATCGCACAAAAAAATCAAGTTTGTGTGAGAGCGAGAGGAAAGGGCGGTGACTTGTGTGTTGTGGGGGTTGGGCAAACGGGAACAAGAGGCGTAGTTTCAGCGTCTGTGAGCGCTTCTTTCCAGCAGCCACGGGCCCCTGTCATAAGACACAGGCACAAAGTAGGCTAGAGTCCTCCTACTGTGTTTTAGATCTCCCCCTTGTTAAAATGTTGTTACCAATGCGTTCTTCTTTACAATCTTTAACGTCCTCACATGTTCTTCACCAAATAATTGACCAAATGCATCTATACAATATGATCATTATCAATATGAATAGTTATCACCTCGATCTGATGGACAAACAAGTACAGTGCACACACCTTTGAGCGACATAAACAGGTCTGAGACAAAACCCCCAGATTGAAAGCATCCAACATTCTAATTATACATTTAAGATGTGTTTTGCTGTAGCAGTTTCTACCAGGGAGCACATAATAAAACAGTAATAATCATGTTCCTATATAGCATCATGGAGTTCATATTTAAAAAGGTCCGAATGAGGAGGACAAAATGTGGAATAGATTATTGTAAATTCAGCAAATATTTCTCAATTGCACCATCTACCAAAATATGGAGCAAGACTTAGTGTATCTAGATCAGGCTTTATGGTATTACAAAGTTGTGCAAGTATTTTATTCTGAATACTCAGAACACTCATTTCTATAATATTATGGTACAACATTGCTGCTGCAATGGATTATTGTACATTAAAAATATATGGATGTGTTGATGCCCTTTGAAGCCTGCAAGATTAAATTTGATATGTATTCCCCTTAACTATATTTTGAATAATACACACACACACACACACACACACATATATATATATATATGAGGATAAATATGTGAAATAAAATGACACTATATTAATCAGATCATTCAAATTGCGAATAGTGAAGCACAAGGTTTCAGAAACAGCAGTAGCGTCACATGTACCCTTCAAGACCCTATAAGACACAGTGTACTCAGTCCAAAGCCTGGTCTGACTGCACACACACACACACACACACACACACACACACACACACACACACACACACACACACACACACACACACACACACACACACACACACACACACACACACACACACACACACACACACACACACACACAGAGGTCTAATGAGTGTTGATCATAAAGTGCATCATGACTGCAGTGCTCTTTGGTGAACCCTTTGTTTGTCACAAAGACACAGAAGTCTGTTTTCACGTCCAAACCACACAACCACCTGGGCTGGCCCAGAAACAGACACACATGCAATTATACTGCGGAAGCCAGAATCTTGTCTCCGCCCCTTGGGCCATGGTAGGCCGTTGCTAGGCGACCAGGTCTGGCTGAAGAGGGGTGTTGTGCAGTGGGAGCTCTAGTTGTAACACAAACCAAGTGGCCTAGAGCAGACCTGTAGGCTTATGGGTCTATAACTGTCCATTCAAATGTCACATAAAGTCCTTAACAGTGAAAACATTTCCAATATTGATGAAGTCTTGAACACATATTAACCAATGCTTAAGTTCTGGCATTATTACAGCCGAGTGGTACCAAACCTTCCCCCACAAGAAACCTCCCAAATAAAGAGATCTGAGATCTGATATTAATGGTGGACTCACATGTGGAACATTAACCTCACAGAGACGGGATCGAATTCCCATAATACTATAAACAATATATGAGTAATATTATAAAATTAAACAAATTAAACAACTTCTTACAGGTGATGATCCAGGACACTTGACACTCAACAACATTTATGGACATTTATAGACATTGGTCTGCCCATTATGGACCAATGGCTCTCTGTGTTTTTGTATCATTGCATTTCTTGTGTTGGAACTGTTACCCTGACTCTTGGCAAATTCAACGGTTTTGTAAAGTCCTCCGCGATAACTGCTGTTGTGATTTAGGGTTATGCAGGAACAAATGGAATTAAATTGAATGAAATTAAACTTTTTTTCCATTTAACATTGCAAAAATGTAAACTTTCTAAAGTAATTATGAAAACTTATTTGAGAGTAAACTGTTAGTTTTTCCGCTTATTATGTACTGATTTGGGGATCTAGTTGAAAAGGCTATAAATCCTGGTAAACCTCAACACATTTTTGTCAAAGGTAATTCTGAACATAATCAAGCTTACTACAAGTGTTCGGCCGCTAGAGGGAAACCTCGAGTCAGATGAGTGGCTGCTTGTCCATACAGTCTAGTCCAGTCCCATCCCTGGTCCCATCCCTCTGCTGGAGCCTGAAGTCTTGCACCTCTGCATACACATAAATACATTCAAAGATAATTCAAGTGTATGAATTATATTACTGATGATGTGTTTTTACAATTCAAAAAAAGAATCATGTTATATTCCTATTCCAAATAACTTGGACATATAATAATAGTAAGAAGCAGAGTGTCGCCCCATCTGCAGCTGTGCCCCGGCCCCTGGCCCACATGTTTGAGAGTTGCGTGCAGATGTGTTTTTGCGTGATAGTTAGGTGTAGCTGTGCGTTTGTCACATGCATCCTCGGCGTCAGGATGTCTCCCTTCACTCTAAGGTGAGGTTGTAAAACAAAGATTTATGACATTAAGCATGACTTCATGTTTTGGCAGATGTCCATGTTGAATGAGTGTGAGAGAAACAGGATCTGTGGAAGTACATACTCATTTAAAGTGACTGACATCTACGAAACCAGGTTTTCACTCAGAGACCCCAAATATAATTTAAATGAACTCAAATGAATTCAGTAACAACTTGAAGAGTCAATATTAAAAGAGTTGTAGTGATGTGTATTTCAAAAATATATTGTGTTTTACAAAGTTAGATGTGCACATATTATACCTAAACCATAATCTCGACGATAGTTTTATAAACTGGGGTTCTGGGAACAACACCAATAATCTGAAACTTCTATCATACTTGTATCATACCAGCACAAAATGTTTAAGTTTATCGTTTTGGTGAAATCATCTAGAAAATAAACATGATAACTGACTAAGCTCTTGGTTTGGATTCCATGTGTTATTATTTATGATGATGACATTGTCAAAGAACTCTGTGATGTAAAGTACATGTATGTGAATGTATTTTCACTTGTTTGGGGAATTGTGTTTTACACGTTCTGAAATAAACATCTTGACTGATCTATTAAAACTATAGGTAATATTTACAGTCTAGGGTTAAAACCAATGATTCAGGATTATTCAAAGGAAGAGTTTTTCTAGGGAAACAAGCCGTTTCTGTTGAGTATTTGACAACAACACTGGTTTTAACATGAATACTGCATGTGTGAAGTCTAAAGGACAAAGACACAAGAAAATAGCAATGTATATGTTTGTATAAACTCTTGTAGCTCAAATAAACAAAACGATAAAAACTGTGTATAATGATGTGATAATGTAAGTCACAACTCTGAGTTTTAATTCTCAAGTTTGCTAAAAGAGATAAAAGAATAAGACAAAGAAAAGACTATATTAAACCGAAGTTGGTGTTTCCACAACGTTGGATTGCATGATATTCATTATTACTAATAGTGACAAATCTATGACTCGATACAGCGTCAGAAAGATAAATGACATGTGTTCGTCTTAAGTCACTTCACCTCGAGACATATCAAGGTTTGCACCTACACTGACATGAACACAAACTCAAGGTGAGACTCGGCTGCACTTTGTTCAAACATAATTTAGTGGACAACATTTTAAAGGACATAATTACAGGCCCCAAAAGAACTTCAAAGACGGACATTCCAGAATGTACAGAATGTGTTTTTTCAGAATATCAGTAACACGCCGCATGGATCTGTATATCTATATGATATGTCTGTATGAAACGCCTCACTACTGAAGGATAAGATCTAAAATGTAACTATTGGCCATATTTAGCACTAAACACAATATACACAAATATCAATCAATCAATCAATCAAAGTTTATTTGTAGAGCGCCTTTGATACACAGGGCAACACAAAGCGCTTCACAGTCCACATCACAAATCATCACATAAAACAAACACCAGAATCACAATTAAAACATTAAAATCACACAAAAGATTAAAACCATTAAAACTTTCAAAATTACACAAGGAATTTAAAAAAATAAATAAATAAATGACAACAGTGCATTAGAAATGGAGATAAAATCCTTCAGTTGTATGCACAGGCAAACAGAACAGTCTTTAACCTGGATTTGAACATTGACAGAGTAGACGCCTCTCTCACATTTTCAGGGAGATTGTTCCAGATCTTAGCTGCATGGATCTGAAACGCAGCCTCTTTACATTATTTTGGAATAAATGGGAGAAAGTCATAAATAAAATAAATACACTAATTTAACAGCAGTATCTCACTGTTTATAAAAGACACACACAGTTGTGTTTCACTCACCAAAGAAACTCTCCGTTCTGATCGGCTTTAGTTTTGTCTCACGTTAGTGTCAAACGTTAATATAAATAATGTGGAGTCATTTCTGTTGTATTTGTAATGAATAATACATTAAACATTGTTGCAAAAGTATCATTCTAATGTTATCTTAATAATATTATACTGCCCCTTTAGGAAAGAACTGAGAAGTATTCGTATCGTATTGTATTATATTGTTTTTTTTTGTGACGTCGTTTTGAGTTGAATGAAGGGAGTTTTAAATGAGCCATCTTCACATCATCCTTTTCAAAACATGGGTCCATCTGTGTAAGTTGATACAGCTTTCAAAGACATTCTCAAATGAACATCAGCAAACCAGCAAAAATAATAACATGGACATATTTAAGGTAGCAATGACATTAGATAAAAAACAAAACAAAATAAAAATAAACAATCATTGAATGTTTGTGAACATCTACAAAGCAGGCTCAAGGTTCACTCTCAGGCCACAATAGATTCCGGACAATGAAAGAGAAGTCTTCAAGCATTCTCTTTGAGACTAAATGTGAAATGATGAAGACCTGCTCAAGAACTGTGTAGCTGCGACGGGGGTCTTTGAAGGCGCTCTGATGATACAGATGCTGAAGTCTTTTACAGCAGAAGCGGAGGGTGCAGCGGCCGTAAAGATCTGAGATAACTTTTTAAATGTGACCGAGTTTCAGGACTTGACAGGACTTGTGAGGCCTAGTTGTGCTGACGCCAACCACTTGTTCCTGGCTGTCTGTATATGTCCTGAGTGGAGCCCTGGGGCCGTGCATGTGTCTGTGGTGAGGAGGCAGAGAGCGCCGTTTCATCTTTGACGGGAACCATCAATAAAACAAGCTGCTATGAGATCCTCACAAGAGCCACTTCAATGACGTTTGGGAAAGTGTGAAATGTGTCTATGGAAATACAAACTTAAGTACCACCAGTGCTGCTGCTGTTTATATTTATACAGTATATAGTTTCCCCCCTTGCAATATTAATAGAATATAATGCTGGCACAAGTGACACTCAATAGTTCAATGTATCACCTCTGTTTTAAAGCTGGGTTACCTAACGTTTTTCATCGGAGTCAGAATCATTGTAATTGCCTTTGTAAGTAACAGGAAGTCACAAACCAGGAATTTGCTTTGGTTAATGGCGCCAGTGATAAAAAAAAAAATGTACCTTTTTAAAGTGATAAAAAGGTACATAAAATCAATATAAAATCATGCATTAAACATCTTAATGCAATTCTACTATATATGAATACACACAATGGACAATTAACAGTGAAGATTATCTATAAGCGTGGATCTGTTTGTTTTTTTTCCAACAGAAAAATAACAGAGTGTGAAAAAATCAGAACAAAACACTGGAATACATGTGTTTTTTCATTCTTGTAAGAAAGAGCCCTTTGAGGCACTATTTGACACTTTTGGCTGAGAGCTGATTGGCTGAGTGCGGGTGGTCCTCTCTTTTTCACTGGTTGTGACAGAGTCCAAAAAATACATGCATGCAAAAACTATGGATTGAAGCAAACTGATTTGAGCAACAAACTAGTTTATCCCATATTTCCTTTTTTCTGGTTTGAAATGTAGGTACCCAAGCTTTAAGAAAATTACAACAATTAATTTTCAACAAAAGAGCCATCTGTTTATAATTAAAGTGACTAATTATATATAAACTAAAGATTTACTATATTTTTAAAAAGATTTATTAAACAAAGAGAAATGTCACTTAATGTGGAGCATTTTATCTTTTCATTGTGGAATAAATTAACAATTTGAGGTGCTGCAATTAGCATGAAAAAGCAGGCAGCTTCTTTCCAGTCAATTTAACGTCAAGCTGTTTGGCGGGGCTTTTTAACCCCTTCAGCCCTTGAGCCCCCCACATTTTATGGCAGTCATTGTGGTGGGGCTCAGCACAATGGCGCTGGGAGGAGCAATAGGTAAGGGTAACATTTAGTGGCTTTAGATATGCTTCTTTCTGAGCGCACAGAGCACAACTGGCTCCGGCTCCAAGTAAAAAGGTCATTGACTTTGAGACGAGCACACAGACATGATGTATTTGAAGGAGGTTCAGGGCCCCGGGACTCAACCCTCTTTAAGACAGATATAAACTGCATAGTATTTGTTTTTCCACCTGGAGTACATCACTTTGAAACCAAAAAACAGTGTTTCTGTCTTTTTGTTTTTAGCTCTCAGTATGTAACATATAAAATGTGATGAATAAGATCAAAATGCACTTAAACAGGACTCTTTCTTCTCGGACAAACTCATGAAACAAGCAATGTACAATAATAACAGATTAATATCTACATTTGTTTCATAAGGATGGTAATGATGGTAATGAGATTGAGGTAATGAGATTGGGTAAATATATCAATGGAGTTAGTTTTGTTAATCACTGTTCAGAGAAAATGATCAACACAAATGTTTGTTTTTCTGCTCTATTTTGATTTAACTTTACTGCTTTAAACGATAAGTCCAATTGTCTGTATCGTCTTCTGTTTTGCTTGTTTTATTTTACCTCCTACCTCTGTGCAGCACTTGTTGCACAGAACAATCTTTCGTTTATTAAATGTGCTATATAAAGAAAGTTAATTTGAATAATGTATTTACATTTAAATATAAAACCACTGCTGTAATGTTTTACATTTTACGGATTTCCTCATCGTCTACAAAATAAGTGAGAAAAACTAATCTTTCAGTCTGTCCATTTTTGGACATGAATATGTTTTTAATGTTTTTAATGTGTCAACTGTTTTTCCCACTGGGTTTTTTAAGAGTTTTTCCTTGTCGATGCAGGAGGGTCTTGTTGGACAGTTAGTGTCCAACAGAAAGGATTGGTGATGATCAGGACGCTTTAGCATTCTACAACATGTATGGACATTTTCTTCTGTGTGTGCTTTATATTCTCCATGTGTTTTAACTGTTGATTCTCTGACCTGTGTTGGTGATTTCAATGGTTTTGTTAAGTCCTCTGAGATGACTTCTGTTGTGACCTAGGGCTATACAAGAATAAATTGTATTGTATTGTATTGTGTATTGTATTAATGCAGACAAAGTGAATTAGATAAAGGCAAGTTTGAAAACACTAAAGGATCATTTCTGGGTCACAAGAGAGATTTGTATTTGCTTTCTTTTGAATTTGTTTGTATTTATTAATTTATTTGGATGTTGATTAAAAAAATAAAATGAATATAATATAATATAATATAATAAATGAAATAAAATGAATAAGAACAATAAGAACAAAACCATCAGGATCATAGCACAGATATTCAGTAGAGAGACAACAACTGTTTTTTCATTTCATTGTTGCCAAAAAGAAAATAGTATTCACACAAATTCATTTAAGTTTTTAGCACATCACTGGTTTGTAGGTCTCTCTACAGACAGAGGAAAGTGTACACACATACAGTAAGTGTGTGAATAATACAGTATTTCACTCACTTGTGAAAGGCACAGGGCGCGCCACACACAGCGAGTGTGTCTGATCGGAGACATGAGTCCATGGTTCACACACTGAAGAATGACATGTGGAAGTGAAAGATTCTGCTGGAGGCTCGTGCACATCCATCAGGACACATCCAACATGCAGAGCCATGCACACTCGCACTCTTGACCACACATTAAGAAGAGCAGAGGAAGTTGATGAATGAATGTTGGTGAATTAATCTTCTTGTCCGAGAGGTAAGTGTGAGTCGAGAGAGGGATGAGCGCAGTTATTGGTGACGAGATGAGAGATTGTGCACGGAGCCAGGATTTAATCAAGAAGAAAGTTTGGGGAATTTCCACTGCCTTTTTTAGACTTGGTTTATGTGTTCAAAGAGCTGATTGGTTGCCTGACCAGCCTGAATTTTAAAATAATCAAAATTGATTTATAAGTATACAGGTGAAACTTAAAGCATTAGAAAAGTCCATTCATATCTGAAATTCAGTTTACGATGTGACTGTAATATTAGATATTTATTTATCATAATGTTGACAATTATGGCTCACAGCTTGTAAAAACACCAATAAAAGTCAGTGAAAAAATTTATTTTGAATAAGCTATAATTATAAACACAGACATAAATATTATAATTGTCTGGGTTTGGCATGTTTGGGGTTTTGTTGATTTGGCTCTTAACGTTTTCTGATCAGTCAGAATCCACGCAAGGTTAAACTCAACGTTCTTTTTATATTTACTCTGCAATGAAAATTAAATGAAGGATATTTATCAAAGCTGGAATACATCACTTCTTCCCCCTTTCACGATTAAAACATGTTGTTTGCTTGTTACTGTATATATGAATAAATCAGACCACAGCAGGCTGTCGTCCTTCTTTTAGAATCCCTGTACGTCACCATTTGATATTTTGAGCTGATGTCTCTCTAAGTGCTCTTTTGTAAAAATCTGATCTAAATATGTGACCAAAAATGCTAAACTAGTGATAGAAGCAAAACGTTTTGAAGGAACTATTTATGTGGGTTTTTATTGCATAGTGAAAGGTTTTGTGGTTTGAAAGTTAGGTCTATGGAATAATACTCCAAATGTTGAGCTAAAGGATTTCAGCACGTTTCAGCTGTTGACCAGGTAAGCTTCTTATAAGGTAATATTTAAAACAACACTAACAAAGCCTTCAGGTATGAACGTGATACTTTTTACAGTTGGAATAACGGGTGGAGGACAAAAGTCGATCAGGAGAACCATAAGGCGAGCAGCTTCAGGACAGACGCCTGTTAAAAGAGACGCCACACAGAAAGCCAGGGCTGTAGACGCGAGCATTTCATCTACTGCACACTTACTAATCTTATCCTCTTTCACGGAACGTAATTCTTCCCGTTGCCTTTATAAATCTCTTTCCTCTCCACACCTCTTCCCCTCTTTCAGGAGCGGAGACAGCAGATGTGGTGGCAGCCTAAATGACCTCTGTGATCTATAGCTTAACAAACTAAAGGCATCCATCAATTGCAACTAAACTCCATCTATGCAGGGGGGACAAAGGGCCGAGGAAGAGAAATGCATGATTTTGTATTCACTACAGCTCAAACGCCGACAATAAACTAACCACAGGAATATATAACTACAGTATCCATCATGTGTTCTGCCCTGAATGAATGTGGAAGGTTAAAGTGAGTGAGAATAATCTGCTGCAGTCTGTGGAGTGCTGTGACTGACATACTGACATTATACTTGACCCATTAAAACAGTGGTTCAGGCTCTTAGGTCGTGATGGTTGTTTTGACAATAACGGTTACCTGATTGTCCATCTCTAACTGGAAATGTGGTGGTGGGGAATCGGGCAACAGATGACATGTCCTTTGAGGTAATTACAGGAAGCAGAGAGCAGCTGCTCCAGGCACATCCTGCACACGCCTAACCTGGATCACTTTAATGTAGAACAAGCAAGAACATTGTTTGTGGTTCATCAATTGACAATTTTCAAGCAAAGCTTCCACAACAGCAAGAGAATTGGTCCAATAGTCATTTTTATTGATCAAACTGTAACAAAAGAAAGTATTTATTTCAGTTTGATTGATGGGTCTTATATCTGTAATGTATTTTTGTGCCATGTTTAGCAGCATGCCTTTTGACTGTGTGATTCTTCTGCTAATTGTCTCAGCAGGGCAGCTGACCAAGATGGCCGCTCAGTGACCAGGCTTCATTGACCAGAGGGAAGCAGAGGAAAACGCCAAGGAGAAGTTAAATACTACACCCATCCCTCTTCGCGAGAAGTGCCAGATCTTTATTTCACTCCTTTCTTCGGGCCTTTTCTGTCTCAGTGCCCTCCAATTGCTTGGAAAGCACACGACAGTTCTGTTTTGTTTGACTTCAATGGAGCGTGATAATTTGGTCATTATCATCGCTAAAGGAACAGGTTGGGGCTCAGACAGGGTTTCATTGGGGGGCTTTAAAGCGCATGCACACACACTTTCAGTGTGGGAAAAGAAAGCTTCTAAAGGAGGGACAGCTGTTTGGGTGGCTCAGGGTGCTGATCAGGTTAAAGAGAGGAAGGCCTACAGTAAAGTCCACCTGTGAATTAGGCCAGGCCCAGGGCAAAGCATTCAGTGTGGGACCCTATCATTGTCAGATCCTCTGAGAAGGATCTGTATGTCTCTATTAAGGCCCTATTGCAGCCTCTGTGAAAAATCATTTCACATAACGATACATTTTATGCAGTGTAGTCATCAACTTGTAATTCAGGGTCTACCACCTTTAAGTAAGTAATCTTTATTACTTACTTAATCTTTTAGTACTACTACTACTACTTACTTACCACCTTTAAGACTTGGACTTAAAAAAAAAGAATCATATATCTATCACTATCTATCAGAAAACCAAATCTCCATCTTATTTCAGATGGATCCCGAAAAATAATGAACTAATTTGTACAGATAAATTTGGATATCTATTATTATAATAAATTGATTATATTTTGATTTTGTTGAAATAAAGAAGCACAACAGTTCTTGTTCCACCACATTATCCCCATCATGCATAATCATTGAACTTCAGCCAATGGAACTTCTCCATGTGTTTTTATTGTTCGATTTACTTTTTTAACATGTCAGGAGGGAGGTTAGTTTATCCATACAAATGAAGCAAAGGCTTTTCAACTGAATTACAAATCTAATGCACCCTCTACCAGGAAGTACGACCACATTAGTCCAGTTCTCAGGTCTCTGCACTGGCTTCCTGTGGCTCAGAGAATAGACTTTAAAACAGCTCTGCTTGTGTACAAGTCTCTCCATGGCCTCGCACCAAAATATATTAGTGACATGTTAGTTCCACATGAACCAGCCCGGACTCTGGGGAGCACAGGGACTGGACTCCTGTTAGTGCCCAGAGTCAGAACTAAACATGGGGAGGCTGCTTTTCAGATTCATGCTGCTAAAATCTGGAGTAATCTCCCTGAAGATGTGAGACAGGCCTCCTCTCTGACAATGTTTAAAACCAGGTTAAAAATGGTTCTGTTTAGCTGTCCATACAACTGAGGGATTTTATATTTTTATCTTTCTTTTTAATGTACTGTGATTATTTGTGCTATACAAATAAACTTGCCTTACATCTCAGATGGAAACTCATTTATGACAGAGCCGGTCGTGATTTGCATTTTCTGATCCTGACCAACAGATAAGTAATGACTTTCATTTGTTTTGCAATAGGAGCAGGTTTGGGTGTTTCCTAAAAAGCTTACATTTGTTTTGTGTCCATTGAGATAAAATTGCGGAGGTCGTGTTGTGTCCTCCTCTCCCTCCCCCAGGGCTGACTCTACGCACGAAGGCCACGATGGGACGGTCCGGAACAGCCTCCCTCTGCGGGCCACACAGCAGTGAATAAAAGAAAACATTGAACCATTATTTTGTTTATTTTTCGATCAGCCTTACGACACTCAAACATATTTTACGCATGTATAACTCTTTCATAAGCAGAAAGAAGGCAGTGATGCTCTTTTATGAGTCCTGACTCAGTGGAATAGTTTTACCTGTTGTAGTCCCGTGCTGCAGGCATCCACGTCACGTTTTGATTTACGATCTTGTCGGGCACTGTCGTGGAGCCGCTCGGAGCTGCGGTCTGATTGGACAAAGGGCTGTCCGCGGCGCTTCAAAGACAGCAGCCTGTACTTGTAAGCGCAGAGAGGTTCAGACTCAGGGCAAAGTCACTTCAGGAGCACAAACAGCGCACATCAGCGCCAATGGCAACGATTATGCTCGGGGTAAGTTCACTCTTATATGTCCAAATAAAAGTCAAATGTTTATTTATAGTTTGTTAATTAATTACATTTTGATGTCTGGACCGCAATAATTTTGCCAATTTGAATTCAGTTTAGGACACTTCTAAAATACATCTGTCCCTCAGGAGGAGCCTCGTCTCGGCAGCACCCCTTTGGCCATGCTGGCTGCCACCTGCAGCAGGATTGGGGAGCCCACACCCTCGTGTTTATCTGATGGAGCGCCCGGACTGGCCAAAGGCTTTCAGCCCTGGAAACTGAGCGCTCCTGGCAGCAGCAACTTGGGCACCTGCATGAACTCAATCTCACCCGGGACCCCCAAAAATAACAACACGGGCCTCGCGAATTGCAGTGCCTTTTCATCCACCAGCACAACAGTTGGACATGAATATGGCGGGTATCACGGGCCTCTGGCTCCTGGGGGAAGTGTCCCAGACGCAGCACACTCGCAGAGGCCTCTGTTTTGGACTAAGTTCTCACAGGGTGTTGAAAGTCTCGGGAGTGTTTATCCAAGGGTGCACGCGCATCCATATGAGTCGTGGTTCAAGACTGTTGGAGAGGCCCCGAATGGGCATGCGCCTTGGTGGGAGATGGGCCCCGGGTGGGTGGACACACCAAGCCCGAGCGGCTACGGCTCTGAGTACATCCCGCTGTCACACTCCAACTTCAGCTCTGGCGCCTCTCAGTCCATCCTGCCCGGGCCACAGCCTTTGTTTGACAGCCTCAGACCCGGCCCTGCTTTTACAGAGTCCAGCTGTGCTTCTCTGAGCGCGGGTCCCGTGCTGCCTGCACCCGCTGCGCCTCGGTCCTCCTCCCGCCGCTACACAGGACGTGCAACATGCGACTGTCCAAACTGCCAGGAGGCGGAGAGCCTGGGACCAGGGGCCACGAGCCCGCGCCGCAGGGGGCTCCATAGCTGCCACATCCCAGGCTGCGGGAAAGTGTACGGAAAGACGTCCCATCTAAAGGCGCACCTGCGCTGGCACACCGGGGAGCGGCCCTTCGTCTGTAACTGGCTTTTCTGTGGGAAGAGGTTTACGCGCTCGGACGAACTGCAGCGGCACCTGCGCACACACACGGGCGAGAAGCGCTTCGAGTGCGTCACTTGCCACAAGCGCTTCATGCGCTCCGACCACCTGAGCAAACACGTGAAGACCCACAGCCCGGAGGAGGGCGCGGAGCACGGCTTCAGTAAAAGCACCAGTGACACGGACAACAGTGCGTGCGGCAGCCCGGGACTGTGCGCGGAGCAGCGCCTGCTGGACTTGAACCAGAGCACAGGATCTGAGGCCAGTGTGGAGTAGAACTTCTGTCAGGACAGGGCGTCATGTAAATGCTGTCAACTGTGAGAACTTTTAAAACTCAGGCACTTTATCATACACTGTGTCTTATACCTCAGCGGTTTCTAAATAAACCTATAACACATTTAGTCATGAATCACGTGTTTGCTTTTGTGTCAGGTGAGGTTTCAGATGTCTGTAATGCAACAGTTTGACATCTTTTTCTATTGAAATTAAGCCTATATTTGTTTTATCATAGTAACTAAGTGAAACAATCCATCTCTTAATATTTATGTCTTTGGTGAAAATATAAAGAACTAAATACATTCTGTAAAAATGTCACTTTATTGAAATCAACTTTGCTACAGTCATGTTGAAACTCAAAACAGATGAGATGCTTATTGCTGAATTGTTGATTAAACAAAACAATGTAACTTAAATTGTTTTCTGGAGAACAAAGAAAATATAAAAATAAATAATAGTGTTTTCCACTTAACAAGAGCAATCACACAAGCCTCACTTAATTTAATAATTATTGCTGTAAACAAGAAGGAAGTCAAAACAGTATAAAAGTACACCTGTGAAAGGCTTTAGTGCTCACGTTTTCAAATCAGCCATAGCAGCATTTAGCTGTGAATAATCATTCAGAGGTGCATTTCACTGAGTTTGCTGTTTCCAGTGTTTGACTGATACAACTTTATGCGTACATTGTGTCTAATGCCCATGAAGTGATGGTTTAGGATCCAGTACCAGTAGTACAATTTTCCAAGTGCAAGTCTAACAAAAACAAACACAACCAATAATTTAAAAAAAACAACAACAAACACACACTAAAAGGTGCTATCCTAATTAGATTGAAAAAAAAAAAACAACAACAGTACAATAAAATGCTGCCAAAATCACCCACATTCATGATCAGAAATGTGTCTAATCAGTGTACTTCCTCAGTTCAGCCACATAGGGGCAGACTAAGCTAAAGATGCAGTGGAGCATGTTTGCAAAATCAGATCGCTGTCATACTAAATCCAAAAAATACACATTGCTCCCAGTGAGCAACGAACACAAACAGATGTCAGTGTTTTGTGCTTTACTACTGTATAGTCCGTTTAGTTGAAAGGTGTAACTTTGTACTGTTCCATCTTACTGCCAGGGGTCATTAAAGGCCATTTTGGGGACCTGGATGTGCATCTCCACGGGACGATCTGGGGGTCTGTCCCGTCTGTAGGTCACAGTCTTCTCATTAGTTTTCGGAATGTAAGAAAGATCCTGGAAAATATCACAGTCATACTCTGGTATATTTGCAACACACCGTTGAAACTGATATTAAGCCTACACCTGTCCATCCCAAACCCTTTGTGTGATCAGAAACAGCGCAGAAGTGACTCAAACATAACGTCTGCTCGGTGCGCACCTTGTCAGTACAGTTGTAGACTCCCTCGACAGCAGTGCCCCCTGGTGGCCGATGCCTTTTCTGAAGCAGCAGTCGAGACACAGCTACGACCACCAGCCCGCACAATACAGTCAGAGCACAGACACTCAGGAAGGTTCCCACTTGACTACTGCTGGGACACTCTGAAAAACGAGAACAAAAATAATCAATATTGAATAATTGCTCATAGATGTTTTAAGTTTAGTGCAATGTATTAAGGGTTGGGATAGGGATATGATGAGTGTGCAGCGCTTAAGACTCCTTGAAATAAATCCCTTCAGTGTTTATTTCTCCATCTTATGGGCAGCAAAAATGCATTTTATCACGGTGATGTAATAAGACCATAAGCCTGATTATACAAAAGCCTATTAATGTGTTTGTTTTTTGCATTCACTGCGGTTGTAAGTAACTAGTAAGTTTAAGAAATGTATACAAATGTAAAGGAGTGTTTAGGATGCTTGACTATATATTTTTGACAGAGGAAGTAGAAAGTGGCTCTTGAGAATAAAGGTTGCCAGCCCCTGGTCCAGAGGAACAACACAAAACTCCCCAAAAATGACAAAAATAGCATGAAATATTTAGGTAGCAAAAACTAAAGTCATTTGCATAAACAGCTGATCCAGATGTGTGTAGGTGTCTTTTTGGAAACAGTGTAAATGGTGCTGTTGTTTTGTTATCAGCAGTGAGATTCCCACAGAGCATGTGTGGATGACAGATCTGTTGCTGAACACAAAGAGCCCAAACACAGCTCTGACATTTGGTAACAGTAACCATGGAGACCTCACTCCTGCTGCATTTTGTGGGAGTGCTTGTCCTGCAGATGGAGGGTATCAGAAGCAGGGGCATTGGGAAGCGTTTCCACTTACTACCATAGACGTCGGAACTATTTTCTGAGAGAGGGGGGACGGGGTTTTTTTGTTGGGAGAGTCGAGGGAGAGACGCATACTTGGATTAGATTGGATAATAACATAGCATCTTAATTGTTATGAAAACAAAAATGAAGCAGTATAAATCAAGTAAGGCTGGAATTAGTTTATTTCAAAGCTGGCATAACAAACACGATTTTGCTGTATGGCACGTGCGCACTATCAGACGCCCACACGGCTCCGAATAACAATTACACGCGTCAAGAAAAGGTAAGCTATGTAAATTTTAAAAAGCTGTAACTATGGAACAATTCAAAGTAAATCGTGCAACATTGACACTAACAGAAGCGACCGAACCCACCGCGCCGCTAGTTCCGACGTCTATGCATGCAACGCTGAAATGTGCTTAGCATGGAATACAATGTTATGGCAGTTTGGTCAGGCAGCAGAAAATGCACTGACGAGAGCTGAGACATGACAGGAAATGTAAAATACAGCTGTAACATGACGGTGGACTGCTGAGTCAAAGTCTCCAGGGTGTAATGGTAGCAGCGGAAATGGCCTGAATGAAGTGTGTGAGCGTGTTTATACCTGCCCTTGTGTTAATGTGGAGCTCAGCCTGTCCGGCCTCTGTCGTTATTTGAAATAGATAGCGGCAGTTAATACTGAGGTACATGCACTGGACCCACGCATCCCCTGTTTGACCTGCAAGAGTGAGACAAGCAGAATGTTAGCCCTGGGAATAACTCACAGAAAACAAAATAGCCAAGAAGTGTGAAACCGTTTCAGACTCAAAATCTGTGAACTTGTTCTTTACACGATACTTGAAATTATTGACAGGCCAATAAGTCAATGGCCACTTTGTTAAAGCTGGGGTGCTGAACTTTTCCTCCCATTAAAGTGGCAATATGTAAGATTTTCATGTCAAGTCATCATTTAATGGCCCTAATCTGTCAAAAGGCATCAATAAAACATGCTCTTTTCCAATACTTCTTTAACTGATAACAATAGTTCAGCCGAGATATTTGGATTTCAAAATTGGATTTACAGCCCCAAAATCATGCTATTGTTTTCATATTGCAGTCCCGCCCGCCACCATTTCATCAATCAGAAAGTCTGTGATCCGGGTTGCCAGAACTCACCACGTCGAGCTAATCTCATTGGTAAAGTAACATGTGGCTACAGAACTAAAAAGGTCTCGTTATGATTCTCAAATCATTAACAACAAAAATAGGAATAAAACGAGGATTACTGTCGAGGCCTTTGTGAAAAATGTGTTGGTTATAGATTTGTTGATGACAAAAATCTTGTATATTCAGCTATTTATGGTCCCAGCTGGATTTGTTTGCATATCTGGCAACCTGAGTCAGGGAGAGTGGGAGAGGCTGCAGTACCACTTTTGGTCAGATTTTTACATTTTTGCTCCTTTAAGTAATACATGATGAAAAAGTCTTGTAAAAGTAGAATTTAGTGAACTTTACCTCATTTGAAAACATGTATTTGTTGCATACGGTAAGAAAGAACCATGTGAGTCACTATTTGACGCTGAGAGCTGATTGGCTGAGAGAGGGTGATTCTCTCTTTATCACTTTTCTGCCTGAATAAGTTGATCTAAAGATGTGAGAGAGGCCAAAAATACATGAATGTGAAAACGAGTGATAGAACCAAACAGTTTTGAAAAACTAAAAACTAGTGAGACGGATTTTATTACATACCCCAGCTTTAAGTTTGGTTTGACATAACGCTATCATCCGAATATAAAAAAACATACCATTCTCTGTGTAGTGGACTGAAGCGGTGCATGTCTTATTGCACTGAGCCCCTTCTTTCTTCAGGCCGTGGGCAACATGGCAGACCACACAGTTCCTGGATTAATAGAAAAGACAAAAATAATTAAAGCTGAAGTACCTAACTTCTTTTCTTCCATTAATAATACATGATTTTTGTCTTAAAAGAATGCGATTTGGAAAAGCAAAATGTGGAGAACTATACGCTTCTTTATCGTATTAGAAAACACTTTTGGTCATAATATTTTTTGCGTCTTAACTGTTGATTCTCTGATCTGTGTTGGTGATTTGAGAGATGACTGCTGTTGTGATTTAGGGCTATACAAGAATAAATTGGATTGTGTTGTGTAATTATAATGTATATTGCATACCTGTAAGAGAGAGGACCGTGTGTCTATTTGGGATGAGAGCTGATTGGCTGAGTGAGGGTACCTCTCTTTTTTATTTTCGGTCTGAAAAAGTGTTTGATAGATATTCAATCACTGCTCCATTCTTTGTGGTTTGAAAGTCTCATGCCCCAGCTTTAAAATGTAGTTTTCTTACATGTAGGATAAGATAAGATAAGATGTGCTTTATTTATCTCACAGAGGAGAAATTTATAAGCATTAATAACACAAATCATTTCTTTTTTTAACCCCCATTACTCTAACTATAGGCCTTTACCAAAGTTGATATGCAGTTTGTTGGTAAATGTGCCTAAAACCAAGTGCAATGCCCCAAAGAGGTATATTTCAGTTCCAAGCTTGAATTAGATAGATAGAGTAGGAACCATTAAAGGGTTAAAGACACTGGACACAACACACTCACATGTTTGACTGGCAGGTGCTCTGGCAGGCAGGACATCTCTCACAGAATCTTCCAGAGCGTCTGGAGTCTCGGCACACACACCTGCCACAGACACACTCTCCCAGACCACTGCACAGGGAGCCGTCTGCTGATTGGCAACTTGAGGACGAAGCCAGGCATTCACAGCTATTGCCTGTCCATTTACTTTCACATACACACTCACCAAGGATGCAGACCCCATTCCCTAAGGAAACAAACATAGAATAGATTTGGTTATGTTTGTTATCTTCGTTGTAAGTGACATTACACCATTACATTACAGCTTCCAGGTTCCAGGTTCCAAATTCCTCATTCAAAATGTCCATAGGAATTTGGAAAAATGAAGGGCACATAAAGAGAGTACCATACTAAAGAGCGTATCATAAGCATATCATAAGGTCCTGGGTTCGAATCCCGGTCGAACCAGGGCACCAGTTTGCATGTTCTCCCCGTGTCTGCAAAGGTTTCCTCCAGGTACTCTGGTTTCCCCTACCACTAAAAACATGTACAATAGGTCTGGCATGTGCCTCCTGTACTGGCGACCCCGCTCCCATCTCTGTGAGGAGTGAGAGGACAAATGCCCCCAAAAAAATTGTAAACCGCTTTGTGACTCTGGTCTGTGAAAGGCGGTATATAAATAAAAATTACTTACTTACTTACTGAAACATGTGGAACAGTACATTAGAAGTCTAAAAGAAGTCTAGGGAAAAAGACAATGAAATAAATGTGACTTTAGATCATACTGATAATTTTTCAAAATCCCTATTGAGCTTTTAAAATGTGTAAGTTACTTCTGAAGCCGGGAAGCTCAGCCCACTGTAATGTAATGATGTAATGTTGTTTGCGATGACTGTAACAAAAATAACCAAATCGATAGAGAGGGGTTTAAACAATGGTCTTGGAGTTTGATGGTTTTTGGTTCACCTTGCTCATGTGACAGTTTTTTGGTGATGCTCCCAAATCGTGATAAAAGGGAACATAGAGATTCTAATATATTTCTAATTGACAACTGCAGAGTAAAATGTGAGTGAGTGTCCGTAATGTTATCCTCGACTCATGGATTACCTCCACACATCAGCCCTCTGAAGTAGGGGCATGAGAAGTCGTCTTTCTCGCAGTATTTCCCGTAGACAGTGCCCAGTCGGCTCTGGTCACACACACACCTCCCGCACTCACAAACTCCACGCCCACTGCAGACCAGCTCAGAGCCGGGAGATTGGCAGCTCAGGTTTGGGTCCCTCAGGTCTTGGTCTGTCTCTTCACAATCCGACTGGGGACTGTTGAGGCAGTGTCCGGTGGATTCGCAGCGACATTTGCAGTTTGAGTGGATCCTGATCACACTGGACTCATTGTAACCCACAGGGCGCACTGTCACCGATACGTCTTCGTCCACACCGTTGTCAGGACAACTATGCATTCCAACAGTGACGTTAAAGTAAACCTGGAAGACACGAAATAACAATAAACAATCAAAATGTGAAATCAAGAATCTGAACTAGATAAAAACCATAAAGTGCATTTGAGAGCTTAGATTTTCACAAAATAGAGCCAAGATGATTATATCTAAATCCAAATTTCATTACAGTTTGGTGATAATTATATTTTATAATTTTACTTCCTGATTGTAAATGATGACATCACCAGAGGGACGTTACCTCCAAACTAATCTCTGTATCCTCTGTTTGTTCCTTGTGTTGTTTGTCAATAAAACATTAACATAAAAACTTCAATGTACAGAGAAAATAATGATAATAAATTTACAAAACACACACAAAAAAAACAAAAAAACACTTGGATTAAGTGAATTATTTAAGTGTACAAATTATGATACTAAAAACTTACTTACTATCTCTAAATGTAAGTTTTTATTTATATACCGTCTTTTCACTGCAGATCTGAGTCTCAAAGCGGTTTACAATTGTTAATTTTGGGCATTTGTCTCTCACTCCACACAGAGATGGGAGGGGCCAGTACAGGAGGCATATGCCAGAACTATTGGACATATTTTTAGTGGTAGGGGAAACCGGAGTACCCGGAGGAAACCTACGCAGACACAGGGAGAACATGCAAACTCCACTCAGAAAGGCCCTGGTCCGACCGGGATTCGAACCCAGGACCTTCTTGCTGAGAGGTGAGAGTGCTATCCACTCAGCCACCGTGCCGCCGAGATGAACTGTGAGTCTCCCTCTTGTGATGTCATCATTTTCCAAACAGCAGTTTAATGAGTGTAAAACTGCTATTTATATTTAAAACAGTCATTATTCCAATTAAATTAGAAAAAAAGGAGGTTGGAATCAAATAAGCATTTGCTTCCTCCAACCCCTTTACGAACCATGTACTTGTTATTTGTGTTTTATGTTGATTATGTGAAAATATGTGTTTGAAATAAATAATCAAAATCCAAACACATCTTTTAAATGCACATGTACAGTCATTATAGTTGTGTATTAACTTTAATATTTACAGTCTATGGTATTAACAGACATTATACTCAGTAAGAAGCCGCAAAGTGGTCGGAGCCTAGGGTTCCGGATGCAAAACTCCTGAAACACCATTAAAACATAAAACAAAAATACACTTTACATATTGACACAGCTCTTGTGGTCAGTACTCACCACATACTGTATCTCATCAGCCCTAAACAACTTTTACATGTTTTATGATGCCTATTTTTGTGAATCCCTATGGGAGATTTTCTATGGGGAATTTTTCTTCCTGAACCAGAAAGCTCCGCCCACTTCACGACTTCATGCTTCACTCTATACTGCTTCAACTTCACTCTATACTGCACTAGTGTTTTGTACTTTGAACTGTAGTAGTATTTCAATGGATTAAATAGCCTTAGTTTGGAACAACTGAATCTTGAAAGAATAATGAACTTTGAATATTGTGGATTGAGGAAGGTGGTGTATATAAACAGACTATAGTTAGCAGTGTTAGAAGAATAGCAGCTCTTATTGTGTAGGCAGGTGGAGTATGTTTACCGTCTGCCCCGGCTGCACCCCGGAGCAGCTCTGGTTGTTTGCGATGGAGGCGTTTGGACAGAGGGGAGACACAGACACCCAGAACCTGCTGGATGCTCGGTCGTCCAAGGACACTGACACGGTCACCTCGGACACTAGCTTCTACAGGAACAGAGGACAGTGTTAGAAATGGAATATGTGGATTGATTACTCAGACAACTCTTCTAGGGCTGGATGATTTTGGTAAAATATCTAAAAGCAATATTTCTGATCAACATTGCAATTTCAATGCAATTTTCCCTATCCTGTGTGTTTTAAACAGTTTTGTTCCAGATTGCACATCGGAAAGGCGTTTATAAGAAGCAATTACGTCATACATATGCCATTCATCTGTACTGACAACTCACTTTACCTGCTGCTATTATTATTATTATCCTTTATTTTGAACACATTCTATTCTGATACAGTACAATATTTACCATCTGTAAACGTGACCCTTCCTGACCGCAAACTACAGTGTACTTATTTTGACCCAAGTGCCCTTATGGCTCGAGAGTTTATTATTTGTTTGATTTTTATGTATAATTTATTATCTTAAACAGAAGATCTTGTTTGATGTGTGCATAACCAGAGCCCTTTTATTTCTTCAGTCATGTGCGGAACGATGACACTGAAATGTCCAAACTGACGGACGACTAAAAGTTAAATCTCATCGTATCTGCAATTCCCACACACATCGATTTCTAACCTATCGTACAAGAACGAGTGTAGACTATAGAGAGAGAGGAGAAAAAAAATATTCACTAAAAAATTCCTAAAAATACATTTAACATCCTGATCCTGGTGTTGTGAGAAAATACTCTATATACTATCTTTTCTCACAACTTTCTTATAGTCATACCTAAGTTGTGCACATGTGTCATTTAGTTTCAGAAATCAAGAAGAAAAAAATCACATATTCAAGGAATTTTCTCAGTCGTGTGCCGCGTTCAAAAAGCAGTGTGATTAATTCCAACAAAGATGCCCCAGGACAGCTCTTTTGTTGTGGCTCTTTTCTGTGCTACCAGAGGGGCTTATGGGAAAGAGAAGGTGGGGCCCAAAATAGCATCATTGTATTCATTCGTGATCTGATAGCCAATATAAAGCCCGGCTCTGTCCGGGACGTCCAGCTTGTCTCTGTGCCGAGATCTGTGTATTCTGCGGATTCCCCTTGAAACAATGTCTCACTGTGCCTGGGGCAGATTAATAGGATCGCCTGCAAAGCACTTAGTCACACATTCAACATTTACCCACACGATCCAATCCAATATCCCCCTTATTCTGGTCCAATATTGAACTTTACAAGCTTTTTAATTCTGTGAACAACATCCAGGTTTTGATGGGAGAGACCATTGATTATTTGACTTGTCTCTAGCATATACTTTCACTTTCTTCTTTGTCGAAAGGAAAGCATAGGTTGAGGTGCAGCAGTCTAAAAATGCTTCACTCCACTGGGGAAAAAGGCCGGATGCTGAATAAGCTTTGTACCTTGTATGCATCCACCACCAGCTCAATGAGGTTGGATGCCTGGAATAGTCCGAGCTTTCCCATATACGTCCCTGGCAGCAAGCGAACCAATTCCTACAAAAAATAAATATAATCCTGATTAATATTCAGAGGAAAAAGGTACAACAGTGATGAACTTACCTCGTACCACTGGTATTGTTGCTTTTCTACAGCAAAAATAGAATAAATATAATTTTCAAGCAGCTTGTCAGACAGCTGGCCCAAACTGGGGTGGTCCTATAGAGGGAAATCACGTTTTTGTTTAAAATAGCATATACTTTTAATGTTTTTATTTTTATTTTGGCAAGCACACCATCTCTGTGCTGGCGGTGTAGATATCGTTCTCCAGGTGACACAGTCCGTCGTTGGGTGTCACGATACCAGCCAGCCTGCTGTCCAGAGCCAGGTGAGAGGGCTGGTCAGTCATCAAGAGCAACAAACGCTTCGCTTCAGGTCGCCAACCCACAGCTTTCTGAGCCACACAGACGAGCATAATTACCAAGGATTCATCATCATCATCATCAAACTTTTATCACAGACTCATGGTCCAGGATTCAAAAGATTTTCAATTGACTTTTTACTTAATACACACTGTGCTTTTCAATAATACATGGATGCCAACTTTATACAGTCACCTGCTCTGACCCGTCCTGCTACACCCAGAGGCTACTCCACCTCTGCTACTGTGACCCGTCCTGCTACACCCTGAGGCTACTCCACCTCTGCTACTGTGACCCGTCCTGCTACACCCTGAGGCTACTCCACCTCTGCTACTGTGACCCGTCCTGCTACACCCAGAGGCTACTCCACCTCTGCTACTGTGACCCGTCCTGCTACACCCAGAGGCTACTCCACCTCTGCTACTGTGACCCGTCCTGCTACACCCAGAGGCTACTCCACCTCTGCTACTGTGACCCGTCCTGCTACACCCAGAGGCTACTCCACCTCTGCTACTGTGACCCGTCCTGCTACACCCAGAGGCTACTCCATCTCTGCTGCTGTGACCCGTCCTGCTCCACCCAGAGGCTACTCCACCTCTGCTACTGTGACCCGTCCTGCTACACCCAGAGGCTACTCCATCTCTTGCTGCTGTGACCCGTCCTGCTACACCCAGAGGCTACTCCATCTCTGCTGCTGTGACCCGTCCTGCTACACCCAGAGGCTACTCCACCTCTGCTACTGTGACCCGTCCTGCTACACCCAGAGGCTACTCCATCTCTGCTGCTGTGACCCGTCCTGCTACACCCAGAGGCTACTCCACCTCTGCTGCTGTGACCCGTCCTGCTCCACCCAGAGGCTACTCCACCTCTGCTGCTGTGACCCGTCCTGCTCCACCCAGAGGCTACTCCACCTCTGCTACTGTGACCCGTCCTGCTACACCCAGAGGCTACTCCATCTCTGCTGCTGTGACCTGTCCTGCTACACCCAGAGGCTACTCCACCTCTGCTACTGTGACCCGTCCTGCTCCACCCAGAGGCTACTCCACCTCTGCTACTGTGACCCGTCCTGCTACACCCAGAGGCTACTCCACCTCTGCTACTGTGACCCGTCCTGCTCCACCCAGAGGCTACTCCACCTCTGCTGCTGTGACCCGTCCTGCTCCACCCAGAGGCTACTCCACCTCTGCTGCTGTGACCCGTCCTGCTCCACCCAGAGGCTACTCCACCTCTGCTACTGTGACCCGTCCTGCTCCACCCAGAGGCTACTCCACCTCTGCTACTGTGACCTGAAGGGCTGTTGCTGATTATTACTATTACTATTATTATGTTTTCAGAATAATACATTTTATTTTCATTTTTGCTGCTACTGGACACCTGAATTTCTCCTATACGGGGATCAATAAAGTATCCATTTATCTAAACATTTTAAGCCAAAAAATCATCAAACTAGTTCCTCGCTCTCAAATCTGATTGGTTCGGTCACTAATTTGTCACATTCATGTATTTTCACCTTTTTTTACATCCATAAATCAGCTTCTTCAGACCGAAACCATGAAAAAGAAAGGACACACTCAGTCATCCAATGCGCTCTCAGTCCAAAGTGTCAAATAAGTGACTCACAGGTCTTACATTCAACTTGTACACAAAAGATATTTTCTAATATGGCAAAGACAGCATGTTGTGGTCTGATTTGTTCACAACATTTTACTTTTATACAATTATTTCAGTTGAACTAAAAAAATGTTTCAGAAAAATAATTGGTTACCCCAGCTTTAAAGTGAGTATTATTATTGTGGCTCCAATACCATGGCATGTGTGCAACAACAGAAACAAAAACCAAAAACAGTTTTAATCAATATATGCATATGGGAAAATAAATTTAGCATTTTGATTGTAACTAGTTCCTACACAGCAAATGATTTAAGAGAAGTATCTTAAATCAGGCTTTTTTCACTGACCCTTCAAACTTCAAGAGGAAAATTGTGTCTGGAGCATCAGTGTGTATTTTAGGAAACCTAGAAAGCTTTTATTCTCGTGTGAGATAATGGAAAGGATATTTTTAGCCGTGACCGCAGCGGTGTTCCCTGGATGCCCTGAATCACTGGCCTCCCGTAGACTAACCTTCTCTGGGTCATGGCCCGGATTCCAGACGTAATCTCTACTGCTGAGTCACCCGTCCCAAATTCAACTACATGGCTCTACATAAACAATACTAAATTGAGTTGTGAGATGACTGTGTGAAAAGAAAATATATCTGCCTCATTATGTTGTCAGATAAATCAGAAGGAACAAAGGAAAGAATCTCTCACAGTAGAAAAGTATGTGTAATATGTGACAAGTATAATACGGTAGGCAAGTTCGCAAGTTAATTCATAATCCTACACACCATAAATATGTCTTGTGTAACCATAGACTGTGTACTGATGGACAATGCTAACCCCTAACTCGATGAAGCCCAATAAGGAAGTGCTCATGGACAAACTCGCTCTGGCTCCTATTGACTTACATTGAAAAGTGAACTCCTCGAGCTCAGTAAGCGTTTGTGTCAGACTCTTTCCATGATTCCAGTGTTCATTTTTTTATATAGATTTTATATAAATCCGGGTATGAACCATATAAAGTTAAATCAGATGCAATCATTTGTGGGGGAAACTCCAGCTTGCCTTAATTAGCAAAAATCAAATGGGCTTCTTCCACATTCAGCAAACACTATACAGTCTATGTATTTATCAAAGTCTGCAGATGTTGTCTTTAAATTATTACATGTACATACCTCCAGCTATGAACGCAAAGTTTGAGTACAGTTTTGTTATTTAAAGTGTTCTCATAAGTGTATACCTGGCAGACAGCAGCTTGCAGCATTGCATCCAGCCCTCCCTCTGGTGTGTCCATGTTCCCAGATATACGCTGCCGTTTGATCACACGAGTAAATTCACTCATGTTCCCGGTCATACTCAGCACGTGATGGAAGCCGTGAGCGGGCCGGCAGCGGACCTCGTAATCACTGAGGAATATCACACACATATACATATATTAGGGACATCTTTGAGACTGCGGTTCGTATTAAGGCATAACCATTTTTATGGAGAAGAGGATGCAAACAGACCAAATTATCATAGTCACTTTTAGTTTAGTCAAAATAGTTAAATCCAAGCACCAGCTAGATCTGCCCAGGGACACTCCTGATAGGATAAAAACAGGACAAATATGGTATTATATCTATATAATCCTTAAATAAATAAAGAATACAGTCTATGATGCATTGGTCGTGTATTTCAGTATTCTAATGTTCACGCTACAGATTTAATGGCTGCATCCAAACCTCTTGGCTCACTGTCTCTTGACCTCCCATACTTACAGTATCTCTCACTTAGAAATAAATGATAATCTATGGTTGTTTTTACCTGCAGGGGTTGTTTAATTTAGAGGGATGAACGTTGATGTACGGAGAAACTGGTTTATCCACAAAAGAGCCAAAGCCAAGCCAAAGGTCTGAGGAGTGCTGTGTCATCCGGAGGGAAAGGGCAACACCTACTGTCTTCAACTTCAGACAAACACAAAATAAACAGTAAAGTATTGTTTATTGTTTGGTTACACAGTCTTCATACTTGACACATACATGATCCAGGTTTTCCTGCATTGACGCTGACACATCCACCAGAAAGTACAGATCCACAGGGTAACGCTCAAGCTGCTTTACAGCCACCATGACACTGGCCTGTGAGCCTGAGACAGAATGTTAGTCCAAGTCATTGTTTGAAAATCACTGATGAAATAAAGAGAATGAAGTCCTAAACCTGGGCCCAGGTGGACGCTGGTCTCCTCAGGTGACACTTGAGTGCTGCTGCTTGTTGCGTCCACTTCTACTTTGGTCTCAGACTGCTCTATAAACTCTTGTTCACAGCCTTTCAAACGCAGGTGTTCGGCCTCATCACAGCGAGAGCTGGAGGCTGCGCCTTCTAGAAAGTCCTAAATGTGAAAGAATATTCAGACAAATGTTCTTATAACTTTAGATCAAACGGAAAACTAACAGTTAATTAATGAACAAATCATGTTTGTGTATTTTCAGTACACAGGAGGTCGCATTTACCTTCTTAGTCATGAGTCTCCAAATAGAAACACTTTGGAGAGTTGCCTATTGTCCTTCATTCATTTGATTGAATCATTCTTGTGAAATGAATGAAAACGTTTAATTAGTAAAGTCTCTTTCCCTGAAAATTGTTGCCACGTCAGGCATTACAGCTTTAGAGTGGATTAGTGACCTTGGTTAAATCTAGGACCTGAGCAAAATATTACAGCAAGAAAATGTTTGTCTTTTTGAAGTTTAAATAACATCAATAATAACGTCTGTAAAAACGTTGTGCGTTTACTATAAGAGAATCCCACTACAAGTTCATGTACAAGTCCTGTAAAACCAGCCCGCAACATCCTGGTACTTTCCTTGAATAATTACACTTCACAGAACGTTAGAGACCAAGAATGTGAGCATGAATATTCACTGGTCTGATTGAGTTAATATACAGTAAGTTGTTCTTTGCAATTGTAAATAAGAGGTTCCTGACAGGAAATGCAGCAGATTGTTTGAAAAAGAGTAGGTCACTGTTTTACAGCTTTTACTCCAGTCACTTGTTGTTTGACACGAAGGAGCTACATTCAGTGATGTAGTGTGCAGACGAGACAGGTCGGCTCAAAGTGCTTTTGTTGCACATGAGAAACACTGCACAGAGAGATTCACACAGAGGTTAGAGGCCAAGTCCACGGATCGTTCTCTGCCATTATCCCCACATTAGCGGATCACATCAGGTATATCGTGAGTGTGTTTGGACAAAGGTGGACATCAGTCTCTCTTGTATCTGACTGTGTACAAACACAGGACCTCAATAGATCTGTAGAGTCCAAGCATATTTTGTGCATAAAGATTTTACCCCCAGTTAATCCAGAAATATGTTTCTGTAGTTAAAATCTCACATTATTAATGCGACTGCCAGGGTGGCTGGGGTTTCAACCAAATGAGTTGTGTTGTTTAGAAGACAGAGGTCATATTGATGAAGACCATACAAACCAAGTAAAAGTCATATGACATTCTACAGACTTCTTTTCACCAAATCATCAAGACAATGTGAGAAAATCTGCATCTCTGCCCTGACACTGGAGCTTCTCTATCACTCTGGAGATCCTCCTGTTCACCTGAGAACCTCCACCTCGGCTACGTTCATTTAAGTTACATGGAATATAGTTAAAATGTTTTATATCAACAATAAAGAATGTATTACATGTTCATTCATTCACGTGTTTACCTCTTTGAAGCACCAGGCGCACTGTGGTCCACGTTTGAGGCATTCAGAACAAGAACTGAGGCTTGACGACCAACACACACTGTCACCTGGACAAAAGAACGAAAACATTTATCATTCATATAGAGCATTGTTGGACTCGTTACTCTGACAAATTAATACTCAGTAGAATAAAAAGTACATTCAAATCAGCAGTACATTGAAATCTCAGTCTCTGTAATACTAGTATGTTATGTTATGATAAATAAAATACATACAGTAACATAGTACAATAGTTACAGGAACAAAACCATAGTTTGTATTACTACAAACTTCCAGAACAGAGAGGATGAAATATTTGAGGTAAAGCGTCTGTACATTTGCAATTTACAATGTACTCGTCCCTTTTGTCAAATACTATACTACAGTTAGTTTTATTGTGGTTATAATCAACAATGGTAGAGAACTCAGGAGCTTTGAAAAGACTCTTTTAATAATGGGCCATTTTACACTTTTACCTGGAGTTTCAGCTTTGGCCAAAGAGCCAAACAATCGTATTCAAAAAGGATATGTCAACAACCATTTTGCAGTAGATGTACATGTAGTTTAATACGATTCTTACAAGCTCACCGTACTGTTTATGACAAGTAGCTATAGAGGAGTAAACCTAAAGAAACCTGATTTACCTCCATGTGATGAGATGAATGATTTGTGTAGGTTGTTATCCACTTAAATCCAATTTTCCAGTGAATCTGAGTGATACGGTTGGAATGTAGGACATGCAGCAGGTCTGAGCATCACTAACAACCCACTAACAAGCTGCAGTGACCCAATTACAGCTCAGTGGCCTCTGGCAGAAGCAACGGAATAGATGAAGTCCTTAACTCCCAATTACGACTCATCAATACAACTGAGAGACACGTGAATTAGACATTTAATGGACGTATACATCTGGATAGGGGTTAAGCACTGCACGGAACATTCAGTGTAGATTCTGAAAGTCCAAATTAATCTTGGATATAACTCGTTTTGAGACAATGACAATCGGGGAGAAGAATAGGCAAATGTTATCCATCCATGGTTTTTGTAAGACTCCCACAGTGAAGACAAATACAGATCTTTGCCAAAATGCACATCACTGCATATTATGGTAGGAGATTATTTTCTGTGGTAACCAAGGAAGAGGATTGACTATAAGTAACCTATTTGTGGGGATAAAAGTTTGAATGAATGGGCATTTAAGCAATAGAACAGCAACAGGTCCATCGTCTTTTTGCTTATTATCAAATATTATCATTTATCTCACGCCTCTTTAAACCAGTGCTTTTCAAACTTCGGTGAGATGAAGATGGGAGACGCAGAAACAGAGAGGTTTGACAGCCACTCTCTCAGGAAGAGGTCATTTGTCCGCGGATGTGATGTCATTAGTCCAAATGAGTCCACTTACCGGGTCTGGGTACTCGAGAGCACAAAGCAACCACCATCAAGACGCACACGAGAAGAGGATGGAAGCAGCGCAGCCCAGAATACATCTTATCTCCTCGGCATCGGCAGAAGAAGGCGACCGAGCAGCTGGATGCGAGACACGGCTACTGCTGCTGTGGATGCGGCGCTCTGGTCACGAACAAAAGCCACGAGTGAAGGCGCATGGTCCAGTAACCTCGTCTAATCCCACAGAGGCATTCACAAACCCGGTGAAATCAGCTTAAACCACGACAGGACGTGGAATAATCGGCTGAGGGTGGCGGCACAAGCGAGGGTCCCTGCGTGGGTTTCCATCCAGCCTCAGGTGCGCGTCCAGAGAGCGGACAAGTTTATTCAGAGCGGAGTTCGGGCCGAGCGTGCGTACACATCTGTCTGGGAGACCTGAGTGCGCCTGAGAGACCGGAGTGCGCCAGTGCCATGAGGCGACGCGCGAGTTATCAGGGAGAGAGGGAGGGAGCGAGGGAGGGACAAGGCACCGGTGAGAGAGAAGACGCAAGTTCAGAGGCTGTGGGAGCTTTCAGTGGCCTTGAATTCACTTGTTTATACTTCAGCGAGTCTTATGTCCAGCCACATGTCTTTACTGACAAGACTCTATGGTGATTTACGCACAGGTCACAAGGAAATAAGAGGGAAAAAGCTGGGGTACCTAACTTTTTCCTTCATTAATATTTCATTATTGTTTTGTGTTTGTGCCAACAGAAGGAGTCTTGTAAAGTAAAATATTGCTACTATAATAGTCCATAACACGCTGTCTTCATCTTAAAGGTGTATAGGAGGATTTTAGGAAAGAAACGCCCTCTCCACTTTTTGAACAAAACTTATCTTATTTGACGAGCACGTATCAACAGAATGATTGACAATTAGGAGGTCCAATAGTCTTGATGATCCACCCGGAAGTAGAAAATCCTCCTATATATCTTGAACATGTTATCGTTTGCATACTCGCAAGATACATACTTTGCATAGACAGAGCCTTGTGAGTCACTATTTGACGCTTATAAGCTGATCTATGGATGTGACAGAGGCCAAGCACATGTATGTGACAAGCAGTTATAAAGCCAAATTGTTTTGAGAGCCAGGAACTAGATTAGATGACCAGTGACCTTCTCTAAATGAAAAGAATCCAAACATATTAGAAATGCAGCAACAATAGTAGCCTAATTAGTAATTCACATTTACTTATTATGCACTCACTATAGGCTATACAAAAACAAATAAACTGGCACTATAGCCTGCAGCTGTAGTGGACCAAAAGACCATGTGTCATTATTAGTGTGTATAGACAAAAGCCCCCTGTGCATTGTGGCAGCAAAGAGATTTATTTTTTCCCAATTCTCATTACCGTATATGAATCCACTAGGCCCATATATGGAGTTGCCAGTGTTTTGGATTATGGAGAATTGATGATGTGAGCGAACAAGGGTCAAAGCCTGGCTGAAGGAGCTCAGGCTGGTGCTCAGGAGACAAAGGAGGAGGTGGTGCTCTCAAGATCCATTGTGCAGATTCTAGCAGAGTAAACTCACCCTGTCAGCTGCTCCACTGAATATGAATGAAAAAGTTTGCCAAACAAGTGAAGAAAGTTAAGCAGCGCACTTTGGCACTACACAGATTTTTGGACAGGCCTCAGAAAAAAAAGCGACCTTGGCCAAAAGCCTGGCTGTGAGTTTTCTGCAATATCATGCATACGTTTAGATTAGTCCCCTATCTGCTCTGTTTGACATCACTGTGGCGTTTGGATCGTAGCCAGCCAAGCCTCCCATTCATTCGGATGATTTGGGAATTTTGCAGAGGGAGTGCCAACCCCTCCCCAAACATTCACCCCATGCCCTACACTCACAATTATGCTAATGATGCAAACAGTGGCGGTCTTTCATGAAGTGCTTGGAAAATCTATTTAAGTGAAAACTATAGCAGACGCACTCAGAAATTGGTGATGCATGTAGAAGATTGTTCATGCTAAGTTATGCTAAGTTATTTGAAATTGGAATCTAATCACTATAAATAAACTGTAGAGCTTGTTCTTAAAATGTTTGAATCTATACCTCAGATACAGGCACATTACAACAGAATTACACCTGCTGTTTTGGTATTACATTGAGGGCTGCTGAAAGATGATGACCAAAATGAAAATAAAAACTTTAATCAATCAATCATAGAGCGCCTCTCCTACACAACCCATATGACATCGAGCAAAAGTGATTAAGCATTGAAATCTACATAAACATGAAACAATACAAAGAAAATCCCATACGAAATAAAAACACACAATGAGATCACAAGAATTATTTAAAACATACAAAATAAAATCATACAGGTAATTCAAAACCGTAAAACAATCACACATGGGATAAAAATCATAAATAGCCACAGTGCATTAAAAGGAGTAAAGATAAAATCAGATCAAATAATTGCTGCCTACAACATTATACTTGATTATAAATGCATTCCTCCACTGTTCTGGTATAACCTGCTCTGTGAATTGGTTCAGTACCTGCCTTTTACGCTATATGTGCTTGAAATGTCACCCACCTTGGTTTAAAACTCCTCAAACTCTTTTTTTCAGTGGGAAGACTTGCCTCCCCACAGATGTAACTTAGCCGAGTGATGTCACATGCTTGTCTCTGACGTAAAAGGAACATTTAATGACAAACTGCGTACATATGCAAGCAGAACAACAACATTTAGACTCCCACAGGCAAAAAGCAGTTCCCTCCGTCTGGACTGTTGATAAATGCATCCTTAAAATGACAATAATATTTGCTATAACCATCATCCTACACATTTATTTTCACCAGACACAATCGGTCCGAAAGGCTCACTTGGGATTCCATGCACTTACCACTTCAGCCACTGGAGCAGAAGATATGGAACTGTTTCTTTTTGGGGCTAATGGACTCTTTTGTAAACATGGCTGGCCTTATCAATACTGTTCAGCATCAAGGCTCAGGTGACAGCTGCCAGGAACAGATCGTTACAATGTTCACACAAAACACTTTTTTCTGTTTCCATCCTTCCTCCCACATCCCTCCCCTCCTCTGTTTGTACTAGCCACTAAGCTTCTCATCACGCTGAGCTGCTCGCATCAATCCCCAAACAGAAACACTTTCTCTTTTCTATCTTGTAACAGTGCATTCAGACCATGTTTTCTGCTACTGTTTCCCCGATCCAGGCAGAGTGGACGCTCCGGGTCCAGGTTTCACACACTTTTGCTTTAACTGCAGATTCTTTGGTTCACACTCTTGAGGGAGGACAAAGTAAGGGGCCAAAGGTCACTTGGGAGCCTGATGACTTTCCGAAGCCAAATGACTAAGATGTGATCCACGCCATTGAAGCTACAAGAATAACAAACACGTCAATGGCTCATTCTCAAACCACAAAAATGTAAGCTTGAAATAAAATCTGCCTCATTATAGTTCTTCTAAAAACAATGTAAGTTCTATGATTTTTTTCACATGCCGTTTTGCCATCTTTAGATCTGTTTTTTTCCAACATAAAAGTGAAAAAGGGAGGACCACCCTCTCTCAGCCAATCAGCTCGCAGCCCAAAGCATCAATGGTGACTGACAGGGCTCTTACTGAAGTATGCAAAAAATAATGTGTACTACTAAGATGAAGAAAGCATGTTGCTCTGATTTTAGGTAGGTACCGTAGCCTTGGTCACCTCATAGAGTTGGTATATCCATAAAAGTAGTAATTGTATATAATTAATGTCAAGTTTTATAATATTTTTTCCCTTTTTTACCTGCATGTTAGCAATAATTTATATATTTTTGTTGGAAACGACATGGACAAGAGGTTACTTGTGCTCAGTGTGAAATGCTTGAAATGAATCAATAAACAAAATAAGTATTATTCCTCCAGGGAGAATAGCTGTGTTTGAAGAGCTAACAGAGATCACCATAAATACCAAAATTCATCTGCAAACTGTTTAGCAATTCCATGGAATCATCTAGTTTACAAAAAAAATCCCGATAAGGCCCTGGTTGGTGGGAGATTTCTGGGAATACCGGGGCCACGGCGGGACAGCTGAGGCTTTAGTGCAAGTGTTGTGCTTTTACAGTAGGGAAGATGCTTCACCAACATTTTCATCATCATTGCAGGTTGTGAGTAATCTGAATGTGTAATGTCATGTACAATAGACAACATACTACTGCATGTTGTGGCTAAATATCTGAAAAGGGGCAAAATAAAAATAGATTACCTAAGTATGAGTCATTTACAGATTTACAAGAAAAGAACGTTTCCTTCATGACTCACCACCACAACCTACATACATGAATGTTTCTCTGAGATTGAAATATCATTTTGGAGGAGGGCTTTGAACAAAAACACCTTCACACACTGCATCAAAAGATAAAAAGCAGTGTTCCATCTTTTGAGCAACCTACAGTAAACAAAAATCCTACTTCATCGTCTGATATTGATGAACTGAAGAACATCCCCATGCTCTATAAATAATGATTAAGGTACATTGTGTAGTTTTTACTCTCATCTAGCGTTGGGATCATAAATTGTAATCTACGGTACTACGGTATTGCTTTGCAGGACAATATGTTGTCTTTGACAGTGGTCCCCAACTCACGGTCAAACTCCTTTTTGCCCCTTATCAACCACTGGATCTCAAGATGGCGCATTGGCACGGAGAGTTCCCCAGCTTTAATGTAGAAGTCAAATTCTAAGTCTATGGCAACAATTCAAAACCATGGTGGAGGTAAATATTCTTAAAACAGTCACATTTGTTATTGGTTAACGTGTTTTTTCATTTGGACTAACTGTAAAATTTACACAGAGTACCTTTAAAACACATGAAAACAAAAGGTCACAGACTTCTGATGAAAGCAAAGCTCCTCAAAGCTGAAGCTGACATTTTCATTTTGGTGATCTGAAAACAAGTGGCGAGTACCAGGTTATTTTTAAGTTACAGACAGTGTAACCAACAGAAGTGTAACTTATCTGGAAATATTCACTGTCTGCCCCGGTTCCTTTTATTTTAACATTCAGACTTGTAGCTGGTCCACCTCCGTTGTGAAGAGCAAGGCATTTGTTTA